GATTGCAAGTATCTAGGATAGTCATCCTAGTATAGCTTTGATCCGAATTCCTTGCCTTGCCCATGTTATTTAGCTTAGTCTGAAGCAGCTCCTTAGTTAAATAAAAGTAAACCCCCAGAATGACACAGTGGAAATGATTTAGATGGAAGAGCTTAATTAGGCCGCTTAGTAGAGGTCTAGAAAGCTAGATATTGCGAATACCCTTAATAAGGCTCGCAGTCTTGCTATCTATATTAATGCAAGCCCACAGAGACGGGATAACTTCTTAAAGCTTTAGACAAACCGGCCTACATTGGTCCTAATCCAGGACGTTCGGACGCGTTGGAATTCGACCTATCTAATGCTTCAACGGGCTAAAAGACTCTAATCTGATCTTGATTAGTACTGCAGGACCTACCGGGTTAATCATTTAATGATTAATTCAGAGGAATGGCGTTAGATTGATTATCTTCTTTGTCTGACCAAGCCTTTCTTCCTATTTACCACTATTCTATCTAAAACCAAAGACATTACTATCTATAGTGTCTTTAGCCTCTACAATAAGCTTTTTGACCACCTTGAAGCTTCAATTAGGCAGTTAAGACAGAAAAAGGTTAGTCTTTTCTAATCTCTCACTTTCAGTTCACTTACTTACTTTCCTTTTAGGCTAGGTGGAAGCGGCAGATGCTTGAAGCTCTTGAATCAGCTAAAAGTAAGCTTCGAGAGTACTATAGCAAAACAGATGATCTAGACCTTGGTGATATCTATGCGCATAGCATAATCCTAGCCCCTTAGCATAAATTGCAGTTCTTTTCTGGTCAGGATTGGATAGATAAAGACTATACTTCTTTATATCTTAAGAGCTTTCAGGATCGAATGACAGTATATCAAACAGAGAGTCATTTAATCTCAAAACCTTAGGCTTTCGTCCAAGCTTCTGAGTTTGATTAAATACTTGCTATTAAGCCTAAATCTACTCAGGACTAGGATGAGTTAACTGTATTTCTATAAGGAGGTAAGCTTACGTTTAGTCTACTTCTAGTCTTCTAGTCTAATTCCTTTGCTTTTACTTAGGTTTAGTCCCCACTAGCCCTTGTCAGTACTGGAAAGATCACGAGCATAAGTTTCCTACCCTAGCACGTATAGCGCGGGATATTTTCTCTATCCCTGCTACTGGTGCTGGTGTAGAAAGACTATTTAATTTAGCCAGAGATATCTGTCATTATCGTAGAGGTCGTCTGAATTCTGCAACTATCCAAGACCTAATGATATTTATATGTACGACGAGGTTTGAGATGGAAGATGAGCAGCTGGCTTTTGTCCGATCTCTGTCTATCCACGAGGAGGGTGAAACAGATGAACCTTCTAATAAAATAGAAGGTTTTAAGCCAATTAGTGATACTAAGGATGAGGTGGATGAGGAGGTTTCTAGGCTATCTTCTATCCGGGCTGGTAAGAGACGAAAGAGTGTTTTATCTAATGAGAGCGATAATGATTTATTCCCTTTACCTATGATGCCAGAAAGCCAAATTCGGGCCTCTGGTAGGGTGAAAAGCGTCCTAGAGGGCTTGAGGGCTATAAAATTGGATAGATTAATGCAGGTGTTATTCTCTTATTTAAATCTCACTTTTCTCTTACCTTTTAGTCTGTAATTTTACCAATAAATACCAAAAATTACTACATAAACTGCATTAATTATGCCTCTCCGTATCATGGGTATCTTGGCGGCCCATAGGTATACCCATGGGCGGGTAGGAATAGATAGGCCCGCCCACGGGTTTGGAGGTCCTACCCGTGGCCCGCCCGTGGGCGGGTATGGGCCTACCCGTACGGGCTACCCACGGGCCGTGTCAATGTCTACTCCTAGGCGACTAGACAGAGCGACATCTCGGGCGAAATGAAAGGGGCAGTGTATCGGGCTGAAAGTCAATGCGTAGGTGACAGTGGGGGCCAAGAGAGAAAGGGGTTAGGGGAAAGAATAGGGAAAGAGAAAGGAAAGTGCGTCGACGATGAAGAGGAGAGGGCGAGGGGTCTTTTATAGATAGACGGCCGATCGGGAGGGCGGTAAAAGCGGCGTGGGGAGGCACTAATAGACCTTGACACAGCCCGCCCATGGGCCTAAGGAGGCCGCCCGTAGCCCGCCCGTCCAAGCCCGTCGGGCGGGCACGTACATACCAGGCCCGCCCATGGTGCCCGCATAGGGCGGCCCTGGGCGGGCCCGCTTTCGCCCATCTTGTGCACAATTGTCCCGATTAGGATATATACTCTGATGATTTAGCTGAAAAATAACCTGTTATTAACACATATTCCAGTTCTGTATTGTCTAACTAGAGATATTTACCTACTTCCTTAATGAAATAAAAGAAATTTAGGCTATATTTAGAATTGACATTAGTGTATAAATATGAATACACCACAAATTTAAACCTATACGATTGTTATAGTGGGTGATTTGATGAAGTAGTGTAAATGCTTGACTTCATCCTAAATATATATATTCGCATAGCATACTCTTAGGCTATCACATATAAGTGTCTGTTGTAATAAATTCTTTCAAGCTACTCTTAATTACGTGTCAAGGGCTAATAATGATTTAGATTAGACAAAGTAAGTTCACGCTTTTAATTCATTTCATATTCTAACCATAGCATAGAGGCCCAGCTCCTCTGGATGTTGGAATAAATCCTAGGGGGATACCTTCCTGCCTAGTTTTCTAATATAAACGGGCCAGACCAGGCGGGACTAGGCAGCCCAGGGCACCGCCTAGGGCGGCCCATTTATCTTACCTAATCATACCTCTTATAACGTAACCGGTAAGCGAGCCGCCCATGTAAGCGAGCCGCCCACCCAACCATTTTTTCGCGTCCACACGCGTCCTTCTATTTTCTACCAACCACCATGCCTCCAAAACGCGGTCAATTAAGCCAAGATTTTATCGAGCAAGAGGGCCGCCTCGAATTAACCGTTCAGGCTATAAAAAACAAAGAAATCAGCTCTATTCGCGAGACTGCGCGCCGTTTTAATGTGCCTCGCACTACCCTTCGCGACCGCGTTAATGGCCGCCTATTTCGCCCTCAAACACGCGCTAATAGCCATAAATTGACCTAAACTGAAGAGGAATCGCTAAAGCGATGGATATTATCAATGGACTCGCGTGGAGCAGCCCCTAGGCCCTCTATAGTGCGAGAAATGGCGAATCTTTTGCTTGCAAAGCGCGGTTTAACCCTAATCCAAACGGTCGGCGAAAAATAGGTCTATAATTATACCCAACGTCATTCAGAGCTAAAATCCCGCTTTTCACGTCGATACGATTACCAACGAGTAAAACAAGAGGACCTAAAGGTTATTCAAGAGTGGTTTAATCGCGTACAAGCTACGGTTCAGCAATACGGTATCCTACTGGAGGATATCTATAATTTTGACGAGACGGGCTTCATAATGGGCCTTACGGCGACCGTAAAGGTTATTACCCGATCGGAATACTACGGTCGGAGAGCGGTTTTACAGCCAGGAAATCGGGAGTGGGTAACTACAATTGAATTAATTAGCGCTTCTAGGTGGGCGCTTCCGCCGACGATTATCTTTAAAGGCAAACTATACAATCAGGCTTAGTTCGATGACCTCCCAGGGAATTGGCGCTTCGAAGTTAGTCAAAACGGGTGGACGACAGACGAGATAGGCCTTCGATGGCTTCAAAAACTATTTATACCGTCGACAAATAGCCGCACGCAAGGCCGATATCGTTTATTAGTCCTTAATGGGCACGGTAGCTATTTAACCGCCCAATTCGACCAAATTTGCTCAGAAAACGAGATAATTCCTATTTATATACTAGCGCATAGCTCGCATCTTTTACAACCGCTTGATATTAGTTGTTTTGTAGTTTTAAAGCGCTCTTACGGAGGCTTAGTTAATTAAAAAACGAGGCTTGGCTAGACCTCGCCCAAACCCGTGGGTAGACGGGTTGGACCCGACCCGTACCCGTTTCTTGGCGGGTTTTGGGTCGAGGGGTATAGACCCGAAGGTCGGGTATGGGTTGAGATATTAAACCCGCGGGTTACCCGCGGGTTACCTACGGGTTGGTAAACAATACAAATATAAAGAACCTCGTGATATATATATATTATGCATTTATGGGCTGTATTTATAGGTATCTAGCTTATAGGTAGTGTATTCCTGCAGAAATAAGGTCAAGGATAAGTATGAATGTCTTTAATTCTAGAACCAAACTAATAAACTATAAACTAATTATCATTATGCCGCGGCCGCTTCCTAGATCTTCCTAAGATACGCTATTGTGTCTCTAGTAGAGGAATATCTTCCTCCTCGTTACTATCCTTATAGCCTTTAGTGTCTAGTTTAGATACAACACTCTTTCTTCTCTTTCTAAGAGCACGTTTCGAGGTGCTATTCCTTCGTCTGCCCTTGCTAATCTGAATCAAATGTGGCCTCCCCACATTCCCTACAAATACATGCTGAGCACTAACCGAACCATAACTATCTGGGATACTGCCATTGACCGAGCACCACAAGAGGTTTCGTTCGGTCTCTGTTACAGTGCAATCTACAGCACGACCCCTACGTCGCGTCGTATCTGGAGCATAGAAAACAAACGGTTTCAATGGGCGAAGAAAATTCTCCATTACGAGCCCGAAGAGACGGTGTCGTGAAGAGGCTGCTGGTCCGGCGTGATATATGAGTGAAATTGCAGATAGAGACAAATACAGTACATGTTTGAAATTTGTGCGCTAATGCTCGCCGAGTCACGGCTACGTTTCCTATCACCGACGACGTCGTAGCTAAGACGATGAAAGCAAGGAACCCATGTGAGCGGAAGAGAAATGCTAGAAGAAAGATGAAGTTGCCTCTTGGAGACCACACGGGCAGTTGGCGGCTAAGTCCTGGCAGTAACGCTCCCACAAGCGCCTAACGTTAACTCGCCACCTTCGATGGGCAGACGCCTAAGCCGCCAACTTTGTTTCCGCCTTCAACCATGCAGACACCGCGGTAGTCACCTGCTGTTAGGCAAAGGTGACATCTAAACAGCGTTCAAACCAATCAAAGCAAACCTCTCGAGCCTCTATGGGCAAAGCTTCATCGAGTCTATAGAAGATGAAGCTTGCAATCGCATTCAAGGACTTTGCAGTCGTAAAATCCTTGATAACCAAATAGCCACCCTGCAGAGTGAATGTGGCATAAGCACAACCTACAGGGATGAATATCGCATGCGATGATGTCGTCTTTATAAGAACACCCCCTTCCAGCTGATGCGCCAAGCGAAGTAACTTTGCACGCTGGCCGTCAACGGACTGCATAGCTTTCAAATTCTTATCCGTGGGTGGATAAAGTAGCCAAATCTTCCGGCAATCACCAATCACAGTTGATAACCCATCCGCACTATAGTCTTATCGATAATTAGCAAAAGGGTTGTTAATGGGCGGTAATTACCTACCAGTATGCAGGTCCACAAAGGAGTATTTGGGGGTCAGATTGACCTGGTTGTTCGTCTCATCAAACGGCTCTACAACGGTAGAGACATCGCAGGGTAAACGAAAGCCGAAATTGTCTACCGATGGCAGCCGTAAACCAGTGAGAAATGCAGTTTTATTTGGGTCAGGGTCTATAAGCTGTGAGAGAACAAGATAAGGGTCAAATGCTTCATCTACTTCACCTTGGAAGTTGACCCGAAATTGGGTCTCCGAGGTCTTCTGAGTCATCGAATTTTCGGTCGATATTTCCCGTATAGTATCCATAAATAGCTCGCGGGCAAGAGGAGCCCGACCTCGCCAGCAGTGAGAGCCATTAAGCAGATAAGGTATCGAAGAGGTGGCTTTGTACCAGAGATCTTGCTTGTGCTCTGACATGCGGTTCCAGTGTGAAAGGTGGGATTTCGTGAGAACTCCAAATTCAGGGCCGAAGTCGGCTTGAATACCACGCAAGATAGAACTCAGGTCTTCCTGGGATACAGCCTGGAGGGTCTCTGTCGACGAGATCGGACTGTAATTCTTCGAATCATTGCCGATATAGTCTGGCTTCCTGGATGGACATTGTAAGAGCTCCTCACCGATGAATACAGGGGTAGGGAAAATACCCGACGCCGACAGCTCCAGGGCGCTCTGCTGCGATGAAAATATTCCTCTCACGATATTTGCGCTGACGCAGATGCTTTCGGAGTCGACTAGCGTTCGAATGCCTCTTCCCGCAATAAGGACAATTTCGCATACAGGAAGAAATTCTTATCTCTGCATTCTCTCTGGGCCAATCCTGGTAGTCATTCTGATGTGCAACGCAGTCACACCAAGGGTGTATTTCTGGCGCGTTGGCCATATGTTGCCCGTTGGAAGTTACTAGTAGTATGGGGATGGTTGAGGACGATTGAGGATGATTGAGGACGGTTGAGGATGATTGAGGACGATTGAGGATGATCGAGGACAATGGAGTAGTCTTGCGATAATTCCAAACCCACAGGTCTTAACTAGTAATTTTGACGATACTCAAGTGACGCGAAGCTAACAAATGCGCAGAAGCGTAATAACAGGTTAGCCCACTGTGCGCTACTCAGACGAGTGTGACTATCACGTGACCATAAATACCGAGATTCAGCTCTGGTCACTTCAACGAGGAGAGTGGAAACGGTCAGACCGTCTACAGGTTGATCCATCTAAGACCATTCATTGTACGATCGGAACCTGCACAGCCTCACGGCCAAATCAATGCTTCCGTGCAGCGACCGCCGACGGCAGTAATGCGTTATTCGTAGTTCACAAGGACGAGGAGAAGAAGCTTGCCGAAGAGGGTCAGGTAGCCAAAGAGAAAGAACTTTTATCGATGGCATCTCGAGTCTTAGACCGAGTTGAAGATGGAAGAAAGCCTAGGCGATCATGTGAGAACCATTTTAGAACAACTATGGACCTATGTTGCTTGAAACAAGAGCGTACTACAGCCAAGACGTATGGCGCTCCGAAAGAAACCTAATAGAACTAGTAATGGAATAGAATACAGATCTTGTGCATGCAATAGTGCTATGTAGAGAATCCTGGAGGGTGTTCGATGAGAAAACGTTAACAAAACAGCAGTCTCAGTTAGACTGTTTCAAGAGCGGGGTTACCTTCGAAGACCAGAAACAAAAGGTTTCTTTCGAGAGGCGTCGCCTCATGGGAGAATACTCTTGAGAGGAAATTAGTCACAGTACGGCCTTTGTTGAGATATGTGATTTATTGATTGCTTGTTCGTTAGCCTATTTACAGAAGAGGGGTAGCCCGTCTTTATATATCCGTTCCTAATCCCCGCCATAAGCTTTGGCCGCCGTGATATTCAACAACGGCCTACTGAGGAGCACGCGCACCACAGAAGCATTGACGTCATACGAGCTGACTTCTGGTCCGCCCTATAGCTCTAGCAGAACCAAAATGGTATCGCCGTACCACTGGCCATGGGTCATCGTCGTGATATTGTAATTTTTCATGAGATCACATCGAAATTGCCCACCTGCTTTCTTTCTTCCTGTCTGTCCCGCTTTGCCTTGCACGTGATTTCTCCTAAATGCATCACAGCCTTCATCTACGCCCTCCAGTCATACTATGCAAGGTTATGGTTATTCTGTCGAGAGCTAAAGCTGGTACTGTAGCGCTGGCACGGTAGAAATTTAAAAGTATTCCTCGGTTTGCCATCAGTTTTGGTCGCCTAAATTTGTGGTTGCGAGGATGAGGGTTGGCAATGAGTACGTCCCTGATGTATTGGGCCATTTCATTTTCCAGTCCAATGATTTTGGACTTGTCCCGCAAGTCTGACGGCCTCTATGGCAGCCGAAGTATGCTCCCCGGGGCCTGTCAAATCTGGCAACGCGTAGGTATAGCCATTAGGAAGTGCTTCAAGACTACGCACTGAGACAAAATAAGTTATGGTATGATCCCCTTCTACTCCCTCGTTGATACGACAGCCGGAATAAACTTGAGCTGGGAGTTCAAATTGGAAAATCCAATTTAAATGAATCATGTCAATGATATGCAAAGAATTGAACCCCAGCATAGTCTTGCTTCTCTTCCATTTACTATGAGCGGATCTAGAGAGAAATCAATGAGAATCTTCCGCAGAATAGGCGAAAACTCCATGATAATGACCCTTGAAACCTCCAAGTTCCTTTTTAGCCAACTCTCGCAGTTCTGCACGAAGTATCTTACCATTCTATCTCTTCTTAGTGTCATACTGTGCGGATGAAAGAAGGGTAGGTCACTCACTGAATTACGGGGAATTCTAGGGATGAACGAAACCCCCCCCGAGAGATACTTATACGGGGCTACTTTGTCTACCATGAACCGGTGGATTTCAGTAGAGGACAGGGAGGAGTGGTCAGCGGTCTGAATATAGGCTCGAGGCCCTTCGTCTTGGTTACTGTGCTTGCATGTTAGAAAGGAACACCTAGAAAAGAAAAAGCAAGATCGTCTTACACAGCGACCCCTATAATCCCGACACCGGCAATGTCGGGATGCTGGAGCAGAACGTCTTCTAGTTCCGTTGGCGCGACATGGTTGCCATTCACTTTAATTAGATCCTATTCGAATGGTCAGTCTAAGCCATACATTCGTTTGGCATCATAATGTCATACCTTTTTGCGATCCACGATATACCACTGTCCTCTCTCATCAACATATCCCACATCCCCAGTTGAGAACCACCCATCAACTCCATGTGCGTCAAGAGTGGCTTCTGCATTCTGATAATACCCAACGCTACGGCTTGGGGCACGGATCCAGATATCTCCAATCGTACTTCGATCAACAGTCTGGCTGGGATTACTGCTGTTGGTCACCTTGCCCTCATAATTTGCATGTAGTTCTCCCACGGATTGGGGTGTTGAGGAAGTGTTCATATCATGTCCGGTAATCAACCCGAGCCTAGTGAGTGATATGACTAATTAGCTTCATAATTGTCAAACTCGTGCCTCGACGATAAATCCGTACTCAGTCAAACCCCATACTCGACTGACACGGTCGATTCCTAGGGCCTCTAGAATTGTTTTGGTTGATTGCGGCATTGGCGCGGCGCACCCTTCCACCCTTTTCAGAGAGCTCAATCTGCTCATGAGGCTCTTCCGATGAGGAGTCTTTGCAATTTCAGTAAGCATTGAGCTTCTAACGATCGCATCAGTGATGTTGAACCTCTCCACGGCATCTAATATGTTTTGCGAACTTGGCAGACGCAACAAATATAGCGGAACACCGAGCTTTGGAAATATGACGCTATAGGAACGTTGGCCAAGGATATGGTGCATTCCAAGTGTGCCTAAGACACGGATTGGAGAGGCATCGTTGGTATTTTGGGCGGACTTCTGCCAGTCAGGATGGAGGGAAACTCGCTGCATATAACTGATGGCAGCCGAGATGTAGTTGCAGTGCGAAATTTCCACTCCTTTCGGATTTCCAGTGGTACCCGAGGTGAACATTATGACGATTGTGCTGTGGTAATCTTGGGAAGATTGGATATCGGGATATTCCCAGTTATTCTCGGCGGGAGATCCCACCATGTCCTGCCAGTGGGGGAATCCCAAGTAAGGTTCACCAGTAGAATCGAGAATATCGTCGTCAAAGATGAAGATAGAGTGTTGAGCTAGAGCCAGGGGGGAGTTTGTTTTTGCAGCTCGCAGGAGAGCATCAGCGTGCACCCGCTGAGTTAGGATGACTGAGGGCTTTGCAGCGGAGAGTAATCGCTCCATATCTCGGTCACCATGGCCAGGTTGGCCAGGCACGAAAATGCACCCGGCCATGATTGTTCCCATTAAAAGAGCCGAATAGCTTACAGAATTTCCCGAGATGCACAAAATCCGATCCTTGGGTTGGACCCCCAGCCGTTGAAGACCCACAGCTATACGAACAGAGAGACTGCGGTATTCTGCTAAAGATAGGGATCGATCTTGAGGGCGTGCAGCATCAATGACCAGCTTCTTTTCGCTCAGAATACCATCCCGTGGAGCACCGAAAACAAAATACGGCAGAGAGCAACGGGGAATTGAAGCTTGCCACCTTGATTTGACGTATGAGGATTTCTTTGGAGACTGCATCGTGAATAGAAAACCGATGAAATACCTAAACACTCCCACTGAGCATAGGGATGTTTGGTGATTATGATCCTTTGAAGCCGGAAGGAATTGAGGCTTTCCATACAGGATGCGACATGTCTTAACACTAGTGAGATTATGTGGGTCCTCTTCCACTGGATAATTTGTGAGCTATCGACTATTGTTCTTTGAACGAATGATGAGCCACCAGCTGAACCTCCTATCGCTTAGAGCGCGAATAAGAATGTCGATTTCGGTTAGACTATCAATCTGCACAATATCTTCCTCCTAAATAGTGAAAGATGGTCATGATTGGAGCCTGCAAGTGCCGATCTACGCCTAAACAAGCCCGAAAAGCTTGGTTTTCAGATCGATCGATGGCGGTGACGAAACCATATTTTGTGGCTACATCGTCGATCGAAAGGTGCACACGCATTGCAGGGTTTTCTTGTTCTCGCTTACGCTACTTGCGGCATTTTCCAAGGATTTGGCCGTCTCACATCGTCAAGCCTCGAATCAAAATCGCCATCTACGGTAAGCCCATGCCCATCAACATGGGAGAATGGAACACGAAACCACAATCCAGTCAGTTATATCAGGTGGGGTCCCAAGCTGCTTTGACTGAGCCAAGTTCTGACTGACAGATGACCAGAATGCACTTCATCGACTGAACCGCCTACGCACGAATTTTGAATCAAGACAACTGACGATTGCACTCAACTACCGGAACTTGCTCATAGAGCAGATGCTAAGCTGGTGCAAGGAAATTGGGTATCAGGTGAGACGTGTGTCACCCTGATTTCTGAATGAGAGATGTTAATGCATGGACAACGGACTAGCCTGCCGACTTTAACGCGTTGAATGCCATCCATATCGCTGGCTCCAAAGGCAAAGGGTCCACGGCAGCCTTTGTCTTCTCAATTTTGGCGGAATACTTGACCGATAATGCTGCTGAAGAAGAAACCGCCACGCTCAGAAAGATCGGTCTCTATACATCGCCGCATCTGCGCAGCGTGCGGGAAAGGATCAGAATTCAAGCATCACAAACAAGAAAATTTGAAGAGACACCTCTTGACGAGATCAAGTTCTCCCAGTACGTATCGGAAATATGGGCCCGACTGGGGATGGACAACCGATCAACCTCCCAGAGTCCACCATTTGCCAGATTTCTCACACTGGTGGGCCTCCACGCATTCATCCAGGAAGGAGTAGACACTGCGGTTGTTGAGGCCTGCATCGGAGGACGGTTCGATTCGACCAATATTCTCTGCCAGCCCAGCGTCTGTGCTATCACCAGTCTCGGGCTTGAGCATACCGATATACTAGGTTCTACCATCGAGGAAATTGCATGGGCCAAGGGCGGAATTATGAAACCAGGCGTTCCAGTGTTCACCGTACCACAAGAACCTGAGGCCTTGGCCATTTTGCAGGAACTGGCAATGAAAGAAAATGCAGATCTGCGAGTGGTCACGACACATCCGGACTTAAAATACATCGATCTCGGTCTCGCAGGAGACTTTCAACGGATTAATGCTAGTCTGGCTGTGGCTGTAGCCGCGGAACATCTTTCTCGAATGGGATATGAGAACATTCCAGAGATTGAAAAGTTGGTTCTGTCTCCGCTGCCCGATAAATTTCGCCGAGGTCTTGAACGGGCGCAATGGCCGGGACGTTGTGAGACACGCGACCATCTTGGGAGTCGATGGTTGCTTGATGGGGCGCATACCATGGAGAGTATCGAGGCTCTGGGTGTCTGGGTAGCCAAAAAGATGGCGGTGGAACCAGGGGCTAGGAGGGTCCTGATCTTCAACCAACAGATCAAAGATGCTACTGCGCTTCTTCGTCATCTTCGCCGAATCACCACTTCGGCAATGTCGCAATGGCTCAATTCCGAAGAAGTGGTTTTTCATCAAGCGATTTTCTGTACCAATATCCCATGGGAACATTATGACGCCCCCGATGCTGAAAGGGTCTCTATGACATACTCCGGAGCCTCAGAGGAGGGTCTCAAGGTGCAGAATGAATTAGCGGCTCATTGGATGCAGATCAGCGGCGGACATTCAGCGGTCGCTGTGGTACGAACAGTAGAAGAGGCCATTCGATGCGTAGCTGATAGTGGTGATCCCAGCTTTTGTAGGGATCGAGAGCATATCGATGCGATAGTGTTGATAACTGGAAGTCTTCATCTGGTGGGAAGTGCCCTGGAGGTGTTGGATACGATATCATGAACATTTTTGGAATCGATTTCAAGATAGTCGTCATTATTCGGTGGTTCAGATAACATCGAGGCGCAGTAGTTGTAAATTCTTCGCCATTGTGATGGCCGTAGTGGGAAATGGATCGACCTCGGATGGAGGAAAGGGGTTGACAACAATATATTTTGGGAATTGATACAGCCAACCCCCCCCTTCCGTGAGTATAGGTGACCGCAAGGGAGCATCTAGGTGAGTGCAAGTGTCACATGACTTTGGCCCCCACTTTCCGGGGAAACGTAAATCCTTCGTAATTTTGGAATTACCTTACGGAATTACCCATCCGGAATCTTCCTTCTATAATCCTTCTATAAAACTAGACAACATCTAGTTCTCTTCTTCACCATCCTTCTCTTCTTCACCATCCTCTCTACCATCTCTACCATCTCCAAAACCATCCTCTGAACTAGTAAACAGCTGGTTCTCATCATCTCCATCATCTCCATCATCATGGCCCAAGTCAAGAAAAATGTGAGTTTACTAGTTCTGAAGTGGTTTTGGGGCATTCAAACTGACAGATTTACAGCCAAACTTCCAACGTTACCTTGACCTGTCGAAGGCAGATCTGAAGCTCCCTTCTCTCACTGAAGACGTCAGTTTACTAGTTCTGAACTGGTTTTGGGCTGCAAAGCTAATTAATATTACAGAACAAAGGCTATTGCACCATCGAGGTTGGCGAGAGATACTGTCGAGTTGAAGATTGTGGAAATGCTGTAAGTCTTTTACTTTTATTTCACTTTACTCCTCACTTTGCTCCTTTCTAAACTAGTTGCTAACTACTTTATAGACTCTCTTTACCTCCACCAACAACCTCCGCAAGCACGTTCAGAAGCAGCATCCTGAAGTGTCTCTGACTGGCGAGGAATTTGGTGGTCGCCTTTGCCAAGCTGATGAATTCCGTGCTATCGGTAAGTGCTACAACTAATTAAGAACTAGTTAATTCGGATTTCTGAATAAATTACTAACTAGTTTACAGAGTTTTTCAATGAGATCATGGAGGCCTACGATGAGCGCGAGGCGGCAAAGGAAGAGATTTTGCCTAAGCTTCCTCTTAAGAATGATCGATCGGTAAGTATCGCGATATATTAGTTTCTAACTAGTTCTTCTACTAATATTCTTAGGTGCATATTACCAAAATGCGTCAAACCGTTCGATCGATGAAGCTTCCTGTGCCTTGTGAGGTTTGCAAGGACACTGATCAACCTAAGCGTGAGTACTCCAGAAACATGAGGTTTAAACCAGTTACTAACTAGTTTAGTCTGCTGCCATGACGAAGTCAAGGGCACTTGTGAGCATTTTGGTCTTTTCACTGACCCTCGCAATCAGCAGGGTCAGGAGTACGTCCCATCAGAGGATGAGGCGTAGGGACTAGTTTGAAACTAGTTTTCCTCGTGGGTTTTGCTTTTTTGCTATCAAGCTTCAAGAACTAGTTTTAACTAGTTCTTTATGGTGTTTTCTATGGTTTTCAATTTGCATTTTTATTTTGAGAACTAGTTTTACCTAGTTCTTTATGGAGTTTTGGAGTTTTGCTTTTTGCTTTGAGAACTAAAAAAAAAACTAGTTTTAACTAGTTCTTTATGGTGTTTTGCGTGTTTTGTATTTTGCATTTTTGCTTTAAGAACTAGTTTTACCTAGGTTTTAACTAGTTCCCTCTCTTTATCTGCTCTAGTTGCGCCGCAACAAGCTGCCTTTCTAGTTCCATCTTCGCAACCCTTAGTTCTTGTTCTTTAGTCTCAAGCTCTAACTGCTGGCGCTTTATTTGTCTTTCTTCTCGAGCATCCTCTATCTCCTGGCGTTTTTGCTGAATTTCGAGCTCTCGAAGGTCGCTTAAATGATCACGATTTTGCGAGTTAATCGCTGCTGTACGACGAAGACTAGAACTTATGGATGCACTATAGAAGTAGTTAGTAATTGATTCTTAACTAGTTTCAAACTAGTTAAATACATACCGAGACTGGCTACGTGTAACCCCTCTAGAGCTTAATCGCTGTGGTGTGGCTGATCTCGATCTTGACTGTGGTGTAGCTGACCTTGACCGACGTTCAATATCAAATACGAAGCTAGAAGATGAGGCTTCAAGGAGGATTTGATCGTCAATATCAAACTGAATTCGTTCGTCTCTATAATGAGCGGCTTTCTGTTCTGCTTTCTCTCTTTTTCTAGCTTCGCGCTGGAGATTCCTTCCAAAGCGAGCCTCAATATCATCAGCTTGATAGCGGTGATGAATACCGAAAGTATCTCGATTTTCTAATTGATCAAGATCCTGTTGATCGAGGTATAACGACCTACAACTAGTTAGTAACTAGTTATAAATTAGTTCGTACTTGATTCTTACTTTGTCACAGCACCTAACAATGAATCATAAGTTCCTAGTGTATAGGACTTATTATGACTTTGCTCAACTGCATTCGTATGAGGCCGGAATCTTGAGAAGAATTCAGGGCGAACACCTGAGCATGCTTTACAAAGCCCTGCTGCAATTACTGGGTGTCTCTTATGTCGAACCCAGTATTTAAGGTCTGGATCTTGCTCTAAAACTAGTTAGCATTTAATTATTAACTAGATTAGAACTAGTTATTTACCTTCAATAAGGTCTAGTAGCCTATAATAATCATCTTCGGTTTGACATAAAAGTAGCCCATTTAGACGCTCGCGACGCTCTATGTGGGAGTTATCTGGTCGATTTGGGTAGATCTTTGATACTGTTCGCATAAAATGGATAGCATAAAAGATCATAATCCGTACAAGGTGCCAGGTTGGAGAACGTTGATTGTTCTCGGTATCTTGGTCCTGAAGGAATGCACCTAAGCCTTTATACTAATTAGTAACTAATTAGTAACTAGTTTCCAATTAGTTCACTTACCAAAGATCTGCTTTGGGCACATATCACCAACAATTGCCTTGATACCTTCCCCATGAAGGTAGTGAAACCTAATAGGTCTCCCTATTGACCTTGACATAAGTTCGAAAACCATCCGGAAGATAAATTTATATCCCGCGGAGTTCTCTTGGTCAGTGAAGACACGACAGAGCGTTATGACTAACCCGGAACTAGTAAGTTATTAGTTCTTAAGTAGTTAATAGCGTCTTTACTTACTTTTACCATGGTCTGTGAGCATTGTAGCGAATATTACCTCGTTAATATCTCCTTTCACCCGCTTATAAGACATATCAACCTCGATAGCATCGCGCGTTGCTAGAAATTGAAGCTGCTTAGCGAAAGCGCAGAAGACAAAATTCCCTTCTGAAGTTTCATAGATCTCTTGAACATATTCCTAAAGAAAGAATTAGTTCGTAACTAGTTAAGAACTAGCTTTTGACTAGATAGATTACCTTTAGATCAGGTTTGGCCTCTAAATGATGGCGTAGGCCAGCTATACCTTTACCGAGTGGGTAGTTCAGCGCTCGTTGTTTCCAAAGTAATGCCGAAACCTTATCAATCTTAGCAAAGCTAGAATTGATCTGTGATAGCGTTTTGCATTTATACTGCTTGCAGAATTCACGAAGCGCAGGGCTGCGTAGGAATGTGCCTATAAGTAGTTAGTAATTAGTTTACAAGTAGTTTAAAACTAGTTAAATATATAAACATACTTAGCTTAAGGTCTGGGTCTAGATTTTTGCAAATTAGATCAAGGACCTCGCTAGCGATTATCCATGGAGCTTTTGTAGGCGGCGGTGGTGGATGAGAATGCCTTCCACGAGAGTAGAATATTGCGTATGGGTATCTCTCAGGGAGTAGCGGGATAAAAGTCTGGAATATAACGTTACAAGCGCCATGGCTCTGGATTTTACCCTGACCCTGAGGATGAATGACGCCTAAATCTAGTTAGTAACTAGGTCTTAACTAGTTTAGAACTGATTCGTACCGCATAATGGCCTCCTTGAGGCCGCTGGTTCAATCACTCCGCAAGTCAGTGGTCTAGGCTGATAAGTAGAGGCTAGAAGCTTCTGTAGAAGTTCTATATCAAGTGATCTCTCTTTTGGGATTAGAGAAGTGTAGAAGTGATCTTGACGGTTCTCTCGTGATGAATTCGCGCAGCTTATATAATAGCTATGCATGCCAGATACGTTCTAATAACTAGTTAGTAACTAATTATTTACTAGTAGTTATAGGACTTACATCGTGATAGTGCTGGCGAAATATAGGTTCACAACCTTGACGAGAGAATTTACACGCGACACCCCGAAGAAACTTCTTCTTGATTGCGTTATATAGCCTAAATAGAGGTTAGTTTAGTTTAGAACTAATTCGGAATTAGTTTACATACCCAATGCTATTACGCTGTAGCTCTCCATTACCCTCCGAAAGCGAGGAATCCGCGATCTCTTGGCGTATGCTTGTAATCAGGGTCCATAGATCTTTATCCGCTTTTGTATGGGCTAGATATGAGAGTCTAGGATCAAGAAACTCGCAGCTCTTTATACCGCTACATTTAAAGCGCTTTCGCTCTGTTTGGCAGCCAAGGAATGCAGAGTGTATGTTCTTCGTGTCCCCAAAGCCACCCATAGCATATTGTGTCTAATAATTTATTAGTAACTAGTTTATAACTTACTGATTTCATAATACGTCGTAGCTCCTCTGGTTTATGTTTATCGATACTCACGATATACGCAAACCCATCATCATGAGTTTCGGGATACTCTGGGAGCAAAGGTACGTACTCAATCACAGCAGCTGATATAGCGTGAGTTGGGTGAAAGGTTAAGGGAGTGGGAATATTAGGTGCCTTTGAAATTAGTTAATAATTAATTATAAACTAGTTCGGAAATAAATATGGTGAATATATATTTACCTCGTCTGGGTCAGGAATTGCGGTTTCAAATTCTTGCCCGCTGCCAAACGGGTCGACATAACCGCTTATATCCTCTGTATCGGGCGTAGAATCAAACTGTAGAAGCTCAGAGAGTGTACGATCCTCATAAGCCCTCCAGGTATAATCTGTAGCGCGTTCCATGGTAGATAGGTTGATAATTAGAAAGAGTGGGGGAGAAATAAGTGGGATGTGTGGGTAAATTACCGGGTTACCAGGGCATACCCTAGAAATTTACAGGGTTGCGATGAGCACGGGCCATAATTATGGTAAATATCACGTGATGTGTGCGATGACCTCTCGGTCGGTGTGCGATGACCTGGTTCCTCGGAAGGGGGGTTGGCTGTATCAATTCCCTATATTTTTTTCCCTTTCGCAATCACGCAACCCAAACCACCGAAAGCTTTCCCCCTTTAAATTTGAAAACGACACAGAAATTGATTCCTTTTCTATTCAAGATATTGATCATGGTAAAGAGTGATTTGGATGCTCCTTTCACCATTCTCTCCGAGATCAGAAAAAGATGGACTATCACGATCGCTTCCTTAGTTACATTTGTGTCTCCAGTGTCTGCCAACATCTATTACCCGGCGCTTAATACACTGGCCCACGATCTCCATGTTTCGCCTGGTAAGATAAACTTGACTATCACGTTATTCATGGTAAGAGTTTTTAGGAGATGGTCTTTGATCCAAGGGTTGTTACATTGAGCTAATTGTGAGCTCACAGATCGTACAAGGAGTAGGCCCCCTGATGGTGGCTAGTTTCTCTGACGTATATGGTCGGCGGCCAATAGTGTTACTCGCTCTCCTTCTGTATCTAGGGGTGAATATTGGGTTGGCCGAACAAACAAGCTACCCTGTTTTGATGGTCCTCCGGTGTCTGCAGAGCTTTGGGAGCAGCACCGCTACAGTTGTTTGTTCCTCGGTAGCAGCCGATCTGGTACCCCGATCTGAACGTGGACGATATATGATTTATTCATCACTGGGAGTGACTCTAGGCCCTGCTATTGGTCCGGTCTTGGGTGGTGTTTTGACGCAATTTCTCGACTGGCGCAGCATTTTTTGGTTCCTTGCCATCTGGGCAGGCATGATGGCCACTGTGTTGTTTATCTTCGTACCAGAGACCTGCCGGGCAGTGGTAGGGAATGGCTCCATCCCACCGGTCAGGTGGAATAGGTCGCTCGTCCAACCTCTCAACCACGAAGCCCGTGTCAGTGACTATGCATCTGGAGAAAATCAGAAAGAAAAACTAGCAACTCAGTTTAAACGGCCAACTCCCCTGGACGCTCTCAGAGTAGCCGCCCAAAAGGAAACAGGTGCAATCATTACATTCACGACCATACTATTTGGTGGATATGTTGCCGTGCTCAGCAGTCTTCCATCACAGCTTCAGCATAAGTATCACTTTAACTCTTTGCAAGTTGGACTATGCTACATCCCCTACGGGGCAGGGAGTCTCACATCTCGTTGGACAATCGGAAAACTCATCGACTGGAACTTTAGACGCCATGCCAAAAAGCAAGGAATAGAGATCGTTCAGAATCGGCAAGTACAACTGATCTCCATGCCATTAGAAAAGGCACGACTGGAAATCACATTTCCAGTAATATACTGCGCTTCGATAGTGATGACAGGCTACGGATGGGCAATGAATTACGAAGTCAATCTTGCAGGGCCTCTCATTATGCTTTTTTTTATATCGCATTTGGTCTCTGGAGCGACAAGCACGCTGATCACCCTGCTGATTGATTGCCATGTTCGCCGACCAGCGACAGCTACTTCGGCAAACAATCTGTTTCGGTGCTGTTTTGGCGCGGGTGCAGTTGCAGCAACTGCTCCAGTGATCAATTTGATCGGGATTGGGTGGACTAGCACAATCATTGGTTTCATCTGGGTTGTTTTTAGTCCAGTTCTTTGGGGTGTTTTTTTTGGGGTCATAATTATCGCAAAGCAAAGGAGGCATGCCAACCATAGCGTAGAATTGAAGGAAATGAGTACTTGTTAGGATGAGAGAGCTTAAAAGAACGTTGAATTCACTTTTGAAGTTGGAGCCATAAGTGTCCGAAAAAACCATAAAAAAAACCAGGAACCAACGAAGCCCTGTGGATGTTATGATGGACTGAACAGCGCGTAGTTGAAACGACCTCAGCGAGACTGTAGGTGATCATCAAGAGACTGCGGTGACTAAATAGGCACGGATGTTTACTTCTATAGCCAGTTAAAGCACGGAATCCGGTGAAAGAAAAATAACTCTTGGAAATGCAGGCTTCTACTGTACGATTTCGGAAGGGACCCCGAAACGTTGCCCGGAGCTCCTTCCGCGATAATAGTACTCGGCTGTCCCGCTGAAAGTAGATGGGCGAAAGGAACTGACTTTAATACCTTTGGCAACCGATAAAAATAGACCCTGACGCGAGCCCACCTTGCGGAACGCCCTTCCCGCCCCTTCCCCGTCATGGAAGGTTCTTTGACATCCCACCTAGCCAGTCTTGCTGTCTAAAATATTTCCGGAAGGGTCGTTGAGGTTGTAAGACCTTACTACTAAGACCTACTGGTCCATTCTCTCGCGACGTGGCTCGGTCAAGTAGAGGCAGTCTGAGATACTGTAACTCTTGATGTCGCCGACCGTTGGAGAAGAGAGGGATGCGGGTTGGGGATAAGACTCAAAAACGAAACGGTCCAGATACAGGTCTAGTGTTCCTGGAGATGAGCCTGGTGTTCCTGGGGATGGCGGTGTTCCTGGAGACGAGCCTGGCGTTCCTGGGAACAGGTTTGGCGCTCCTGGGGATGGCGGTGCTCCTGGGAACGGGCCAACGGATCTCCAGGAGCATACCCTTTGAACGCACCAGTAAGATTGCAACCCTCTTTGCAATGGTTTTCTGAGGTAAGCCGTCCAGAATCAGGACCGGTTAGGAATCAAATCGCGCGAGGGGAAGAAGGATCTTACAAACTTACCAGGCCTGTTTTTGTCATACACAGGCTTTAGCGACGGGTAGACACCTCCATGTGGTACGGAAAACCTCTACTCCGTGATTTTTGTGACGTCCCTCCACTAAGGGAAGCCATGTCCTGTACAAGAAAAGCGCCCGAGGCGAAATTACTGGGCCGTTTTGGAGTCTCATCCCCCACCCAGCCCCACCCCACATCCTCTCTCTGCACTGGTCGGCGACATGAAGTAATAGCCCAGGTGTCAGGACTGCCTCAACTTCACGTGTTATATCGCGAGAGAGGCGACCAGTAGGTGTTGTGGAGTAAGCTCTCATAACCTCACAATGATCGCATGTCATCGAAGGCATTGAAAGCTCTTTGCTTCTCACCTCGCGAAGCTTACTGTCTAAAAACAGCCCTGGAACGGTCGTTGAGTCTGTAAGACCTCCCTGGGTGTTCAAGACCTCCGTAGGATTCTCCACCCAAAATTAGGTCCAGGCTCTGATTAAGAGTCCTCAAAATCTCATTAAAGTTGTGAAACCGAGAATGTAAAACAATATCCACGGCATCGAAAATCAGACGGTCTAAGCACACAACTGAGACATCCTACCAAGATCTGTTCTATTCAAAAGGAAGAGTAAACATTTTTTCTATATTATTGAGCACATCGCCCTCACTCCAGTAAAGTCTTCATGAACTAGAAAAGAGAGATCGCTTAGTTGTTACTTCAGACCCAGGGCTGCTTGAGACAAACGAGACACGGTCCTGTGTACTCTTTCGGCATGGTTCAGTAGTCCGGACTTTGATTCTAGCTTCTCACAGCAGATAGAGCACTCACAACGCATGTCTTTCGGAAAGGGTTTGACGTGTATATTGACAAAGTGTCGACTGAGTGAGCCTAGATTCTTATAATTCTCTAATCTTTCATGAACTAGGAGCCTGGGATTGCCAAGACAAAGAAAACAAATCGTTGGTCTCTATTTTGGAGATATTATGCAGACCGAGGCGATGGCTTGAATAACTGTACCATCGCTCTTATCTGGGGTGGGTGACTTTTGCTTTTTTAGCAAGGGAGTATGTGCCAGAATATCGATAGTATCGGCGGTACGTTTTCGGGCACCACAAGCCCGCGACGGAGCACCTTCTTCCGCATCACAGACCGCAATCACCGCATTGATTGCAGCAATGCGACGCTTATATTCTTTTTCTATCGAAGCTCTTGGTATAGTAAGGACGGTGTCGATCAGAGTTATGTGTTGTGGTGTTAAGTACCCAGTTCGCTCCAAAGCACCTATAACGTCTTCGTCTACTACCTTTCTAGAAAGCTGCCGTTCGCTGTCGATCACTGGCTATTCATTCTTGTATCGCTCCAAATTCTCACGAATCAAACGATTTCGTTGTCTTCCCTTTTCGTTTCGCAAGTCCCTCACAGAAAGATTATACCGCTCCTCTGCACGTTCAAACTTTTTACGTAAACGGTCCAAGGTTTTCTTTTTAGATTGCCATTTTTTGTAAAATTTCCGTAGATAGCGAGAAACAGAACATTTTTCTAGAGGGTCATCACTAAATTCTCGTTGCATAGCGAGCATAGCCTATTCAAAAGCACCTCTTTTCAGTTCCGCGCCTACTCTCGTGCCTGCTTCAACTCTTCCAAAGCAACCACACGCGGAACTTAGTTGATAGAGCTTAAATTTTCTAGCTTATACGGTCTGCGCGGATCAATCGATCGGCTCATTGAGTAGGCAAAACGCATAAGCTGCTTCTAAGCGGGTAAGCCCCGGACAATTGCCTAAGCATCGACGTGGATACCGACATTGTAGTGCCATACAAACGTATCAATGCTAGCATACTATAGCATCACGTTTTGTAGTTTATTTAATATATCCGCTATAAAGGGGGAATATATTAGTCAGTATGTACAGACCGTGTGCAATGTAAAACTCACGGCTATCGTTAAACGCCTTGGCTACTCTATATCGGAGGCCGTAAGGCTTTGTGACTTCCTCGAAGCTAGTTATCTCACCACCACGTTTCATTCGGTATCGCAGCCAACCTCCGGTAAGATTTTGCTCTAGAGCGATTCGAAATCTATAGGGCTCCCGCAGTGCGTGATAAAAGATATATTGATCGAGAATTTCAGCTCTCAACTTTAACTCCTACTAGCCAAGTCCATTCAAGACCTGGAGGTTATATAAATTCTCGGGACAATTCACCGCCCGGCCGTCTTTAGAGAAACTTTTAAATGCCCTAATACGGAAAAGCATGCCCAGTAGAAAAACGTATAGGCTAAGGACCAGCGTAGGATCAAAGACAATTTCTGGAATAGGAAATGTGTTTCTGTAATCACTGATTAGCCAAATTAAGAGAGACGGAAGGAGCAAAAAGAACCGATAAGAGGAAAGAAGAGTCGGGAATACAGCGATCGTTCCACAAAACGTAAGACTAGACAATGGGGGAAGAAAGTACGATCAACAAAGGGCAGATGGCAACGGCAGGCCCTTACGATTCTTTCTTTCCGAGGAATGACTTAGTGAATTCCGGTCGCATATAGATAAAGAGTCGCGGACATCCGCCTGATGGGTCCCTTATCAGGGTCAATATAAGGTCCCGGTAACGAAGATTCAAGAGCGCTCTAGGACGGCTACCCATAATAGCGGCCAGCTAGCAGTAAAGGAGTAGCTAAACACGATACCAACCACAAAGGAAAGTCATCTCCGTAGTGGTCAGGATCACTCGGGCAAATTCGGCCATATCTTCAATATATATAGTGGCTTTCGGGCGTCGATCGAAGCAGAGCTTCTTTTCGGTTGCAACTATAGCGAGCATCTATAAACTATTAGATATATCAAATTAAATCTAATAGGAAAACGATCTCACATCCTCGACTTTAACAATCGTTTCTTTGCTAAGCCCATGCCTAACTTCCGCCTTATAGACTAGATGCCACCATTTCTAGAACGTCTCGAGCGAGCTTTTATGCTTAATACCCGCCGTTCGTCGCCCATTCTTCCCCCGTCGCTAGTCACACCGCCACGAGAAAAGAGCTTTCAAAAAGCGGTTCGTCTCCTCTGTATCAGAGAGCCCAAAGAAACACTTCACCGGATCGCGCTTCCCACCCACACAGAACCTACAACAATCAGCTATCACACAGATGGTAGGTAGTGGCTAAGAGGAGTCTTAATTATCCCAGTATTCCCGCGTTTTATCTAACTTCTCCTAGGTTCTCGGGCTATAGCGTTTCTGCCGAAGAAGCGAGACGTCGAGACACTCGGCCTCCTAGAGATAGTGTTCTAGTGGAAGTTGCTTCTCTTCGTCGTCTAGTGCTAGGTCATCTTCAGACTCCAATCCATCCTCAAAGTCAGACTCGCTAGATAAGTAAGAGTCGCTTAGTGTGGTGGAGGAACCGATGTCCAAGGCCTTATTAGAGAAGATCTCAGGGAAATCTGAGCTAGCATCGTTCTCATCCTCGGACAAGGCAGGGCACGGAAGGCAAGGCATGATAAGGGAGCGGCGTTCTTTTGGAAAAAGGGGATGGCAGGAGCGAAAGAGAGCGACAGAGCGTAGATATGATCAAGAGTGGTCTTTGTTCCAGTGTTCTGTCGGAGGGGCAGATACGGGTTAGTGAGCGACGGACAAAGATCGGTCGGGGCCATGGCAGTCGACATTTATAGAAACGCAGGGAAGAAAGGTGTTGAACAAAGGAGCCATTTTTGGCTCCCTCCTCCAGGAGGGGGGTGTGACTGTAACTGGGCTTGCGGCGGCTGCCTCATGAGTGGAACCAGGAACGCCGACACCTCAGCGGGGTCGGCCACGAGCTAGGCACCATGGCAACGGCCAACTAGAGATGAAGGTGGCAGTAAGCCACACTTGCCGTGGCTTTAGATACACGTGATGCCAAGACCGTCGCCGGTGAGTGGGAGGCCAGAAACGGCCGCTTTGGAGGTCGTTTTAAGCCTTCCACTCACCGGCTCAATGTTATGTGGAGTATATAGGATAAAAGAGATAAATAAATGCCTAAGGGTCCCTATGCGGCAGGGCAGTCCTTAGGACAAATATTTGTAGAGAGAAATACTACCTCCCGTAGAGGTCGGCTACTACTGCGGCGTAGTAGCTTACCCTAGGAAGATGGATGAAGATAAAGATAAAGGGTCTCTTTGGTCTGCCTTTATGAGAGAAAGGTAGTAAGAGAATAATTGAGATGAAAGCTCTTGTTCAATTCAGTCTAGGTTTTGAGCCATATTTATAGACAAAAATATTCAGTTTCATATAAAATAAATGGCCTGATTGCTTAAGGTTATAGACGTCATGAAGTAAGGGGTAGACCTTATGACCTTGTCTTATGACTAGGTCTCATGACCTAGTCTGATGTAAAGGGAAAGTGTAGTAAAGGCCGAAGTGAGAGCAAAGTGAGAGATAAATAAGAGATAATTGGAAGATCAGATAAAGGCGGTGAGAGATGGCAGAACGGGAACATTAACCATTAACGGGAACTTCCATATTGAATTGGAAGCTCTAGAAATCTGCATGAATTAATGCATGCACCTAAAATCCTGACATTAATTAATTAATATATAGAGGAATTTTATTTTATTTTAAGTGATTAGAGCCAAAGTTAATAACTTAGGAGGACTATGACTAGAATATATATAAATAATAGTATTTAATTAAGATGAATCAGCCGAATTATATACGCTAAGACTAGGATTTTATATAAATTTGGGTTAAGATAGGTTATTTATGGGTTTTTAAATCTAAATTTATAACCCGCTAGGTTAGGTTCGGGTTACAATTTATAACCCGAACCTATTATGGGTTTGGGTGCGGGTTAAAGGTCTTAACCCGTATTGCGGGTTATGGCGCAGTCTAGTTATGCTGAAGACGCTATGTATTAGTGTTATGCTGTAGCCGTAGAGATAGCCCAAACTGATATCTATTGGTTGCTGTTTAGGTCTTGCGTATAGGATTGTCTTGCTTCTCCTGCCATCGTATATCATACTCTCGTCCGCGGTCGTAGCTAAGCCGAATTGTCTTCAAAACACCCTTCTTTGTGCGCTTACTACGTCGGGTAGTAAGCGCATAGCTATGCTCTTGGGCGAAGGCGTTCACTGCAGCGATTCCGAGCTCTGGGGTGTCGTAATATGTGCCCTCAGGGGGGGCTTCCATAGGTGGAGGGCTAGTAGGGGCTGATGCGACCGAAGACACTAATCTAGTTAGTATTAGACATTATCCTAGCTTAGTAACCAACCTGATTCAGTGCTATCAGTGCTTCCTAGCTCGGCAAAGAGAAATCCTATAGGTATTGATGCCATTTTCATAGGGGATAAGTAGGTAAAGGTTAAACGAGATAATTACTCAAGGATAGTTAAAAGCAGTAGAGAAAGAGGTGGACAATTTTAATGCGCTATGCCTATCTAGGTGCGGATGCCTGATAAATTAGGTTGGGGGGGGGTCGGAGTAGTCCGTCCCTATTTTTAATAGTGAAATATAGATCCTGGCTTATAGTAGTTCATCTCTTACTTTTCATAACCTAGCATTGCTATTATATGACTGCTAGCCAGAATGAGATAATCGCAAACGCATTAGTAGCCTAGAATCTACAGCAGACTGTGGGAGAGGTGTTGGTAGCAAGCATGCCTCTCAAGTCAGATGAAAAAGAAGGACCAGTTGGGTGCCTTTCGAAAGTTTTTTACCTGCAAGTTGTTTTAGTAAAGGTCTTGAATTACCTTAAAAACCTGGATCCAGGGGAATACCCTTCCTTCGGAAGCCACCAACGAAAGACAATATATGTAACTGATAGATTGTATTGAGCTGAACTAAAAACACTACAATACAAAGGATTTAAGTTCTTCTGTGCCATAAGTGGGATTTACTCAAGTATTCAGCGTCAATCATAGCTATCACTAGCCGCAGTAGTATTGCTATACCACTGACTAACAGCGGCTCTATAGACGGTGCGGTCACACGGTTGCGGTTGCAGTTCCAAGACTAAAATGCTATTTAGTCGACGAGGTTGCAGAATTGATTGGCGGACATACATGCTTTGCTGTGAACCTGCAGTCCAACATCTTCCTTAGTTGAACTCATTGATTCACACGGCACCCTTTGTCCAGACCGGAAGAAATGGAAAGGTGTCTGCGACCATGCTAGTTTCTATGGCAGTGATTGAACCAGCGTGAGTTACGGGTAACCCATTCTTTTCATAGACATCTTCCTGCTGCTGAGCGGAGGTACTATGTCGAGAAGATACAAATACGCTGAACATTCACAGAGCATGGAGCCACAGATGGTGATGTCGCCAACAATGCCTTTGCGTTGATCCAGGATCATTCCGTAATGGACCCGACCCAAACTCTCGACAAGAAGCCACATGATATCGTCTTTTCCAAAGTGATATTTATAGGCGGAGGCTCTAAGGTATATAGCGTAGATCAAGCCCTTATTGACTGCATTCACATGACGACGACTCAGCCTCGCGGCCCGTCACCCGGTCGAACAGTTCCGGAGACAGCATGACGCGGTATGCTTATAAAGCACATAAAAATAACTAAAGTTACTCTATGGTGAACGGACAGGTCAAGAACCCAGCGCATGGAAGGGTGTTAAGTAGTTCCACGTGTAGGCTCGCATGCCATCTGATAAATTAAATGCTGGAGTGTTGAAGTTCACGGACGGCCCTGAATGGCCTAGGTATTTCAGCCGATGGGATCTTGAGACTACAAGACCGGGGCGCCAGAGGAGAAATGCATGATTGATGCAGAGTAGTAGAGGTTCTCCTGAACACGGAAAATGTCAATATCCGCCAGGACGTCAAATATGACGTGGTTTTGAAATGTTTTCATAGCCATAGAGCCACATATTGCCATGCAGAACAGAGGCAAAATCAAAGACGCTCTGGCAGCCATTAGACGCATCATTACGTGCAATCGAATGAAACAGGTACAAGAAAGATATAACATGAAAACTTAGGGCGGCCTGCAAGATAAAGGATCACTTAAGTTTGTTGGAAGATGGATGTTATAGACGGCGCTCTGTTTCATAGGTCCATTTTTCTAGCCCTTAAGTCTCCCTATGGTGCGGTCAAATAGTGAAGAATAATCAAGATCTTGGTGTTGCCATGTAGAAGCATTATCCTTGCCCAGAAGTCGCACCGGCGTACTGCCTAGATCCGAAGTTGTGGTGGGGCGACTACAGGGCACGGTTAGTTTATTAAATGTTTGAAGTGATCACCCGTGATCCGGAAGGCCTCATTTAGCGTTTTTCATTCCCGGCAAATGATCTGGCTGTTAAACAGCGATAGGAGTGCAGTTGTTCAGCGATAGCCAAACTCCCCACTGTTACCAGTAGGCTTCGCAAAATTCGATGCGGGGCGTGTTTTGACCCTGGACCCACATATGAGATTACCTCCGCTTAAAGTATCTAATTACAACTCACTCTTTACCTATCATGCTGCTATGCTATTCTCCCAGTCAACTTGAATTACCTCGGGTATTAGGTCTACCCCTTTCTCTTAAATATAACCGGATGAACAGCTCGTGGAAGAAATTATAATTGCGACGTTAATACTTATAAATAGTATTTTAGTAGGGTGAATCATCAATTTTATCCATCTAATTAAGGAAAGCGCGCCGAAGTTAATGTATTTGAGGGTCGAGTCGAGGGTCCATGCCAGGTCTAACGATGCAATCGTATCTCACCCGCGTGTAGCCCGCTATGCTGCCACAACGATGCAATAAAGGGGTCTGCTGGATGAGCTCCGCTATATTGCATCGGAGTCTGACTATGACGACCAGGAACAAATCGGCTATGGAGTAGGTTGCAATGACGCTACGTATCCACCACCCAGTACAGAAAGACCACACCTCTGAGAAAGGTCAGAATAATGACCAGTCTGCGATTTTCTACGTTAACGCCATCAATTGAGAAGCAGGGCAACTAGAAAACTGGTACCGAAGAAGCAGAAGCAAGGCATTGGAAACGGGGGTGTTAGGGGGAATATAGGAGGATTTGTATGGGTTACTGTGCATGCTTCTACTTGAGGGCACTAGCTTTATTGGTATTTCTTATATACTGGACTCAACGGGCCGATTTCCCTTTGTATGGATGTAATCCTGTTTATTTGCGTGTTTGGCGTTCAGGACACCAAGTTCTGCTTTTATTGATACAGAAGCGCCTGCATAACTTGACGCAACCAGTTAGGCTCCATTAGATCAATTGAACTTATATTTATTGGGCGATCGATTGATGTAGTGTGATGAATACTAAGGAGCGTGGTTCAACGGTTAACACAGAAACGCTCTGCCAGATAGCGCCAGGTAAAAATTTTAAAACAGCTCTTTTCACACTTCCTCAAGCGTTGCCTTGTACACAATGCCGGCCATCTCTCTAGCACGGTCCATCCATCCCAACACCCTCTCACTCTCCTCCTCGCCAATAACCTCACCCATGCCCTGAGAATCACCCTTTCTGCTTGCCACTTTCTCCGCGATAATATCAGCCTGATACCAGAGGCCCCAACCCCTCTCCACAGGCATTTTAACCACCTCCTCGGTCTCCACACCATTTTCATTCAAATGCTCCTCGCCATACCACTGAACGTGTAGCTCCTGAGGTCTGATAGGAGGGAAAGGAATCGATACTGACGCTTTCGTGGCTTCGATACGTACAGCAGGTGCTGCCTTTTTGGCCTGTAACCGTTGATAGAAAGGTATTTTGCTGGATCCAGAAAGAGTCATGCTCATGGTGACTATAGCGACCGCCTCAGATCGCTTGCTGCCGCGTTCATTATTCTGTAATTTGGCAAGTATCACAGTGTTAATATCATCCACCTCCCCCTGAACATTAGGGACAGGTATGGAATGAGCATGTACAACTCTGGTCTGTGTCCTGTCTTGACTGGATGGAAGGCCATTCAGCGCGAGATCCGCCCACGTCAGTGCATATACGCCTTGATCCAACAAACTTCCCGCTCCAACCGCCTTATCGAGAAACCGACTTTCCAGACTTAAATCTGGTGATATGATCGGAAGACTGAATTCGGCGTATACGCGTTTCACCTCGCCGATGCGCGGAAGTAGTTCATGTTGGAAGTAGAGCGTAGCAGGGATATAGCGCGTCCACATTGCTTCCATGAGCACAACACCCCGTTCTTTTGCTAGCTGACACAGTTGAATGAATTGTGCGCGGTTCATTGTTGCGGGTTTCTCTACGAGCACATTGCGTTTGCATCGTAGGGCTTTTTGCACGTGGGCATAGTGCAAGGGATGTGGTGTGGAGATGTAAACGATGTCGAAATTTCCCTTTTCGAGCATTTCTTCCCAGGAATAGTAGATAGAGACGGACTCGGCATCAGGTATTTTGTGTTTTCTCAACCAGTCGGCTGCACGAGAAGCACTCCTGGTCGTACTGACTGAGACAAGCTCATGTTTGATGGACGTGGAAGATTCCCGGGGGAGGAGCAAGTCTGGTAGAAAGACAGAGGCGATGTTGGAGAGGGAGAGCGCTGCCCAGCGGCAGGTAAATTGGCCCTGTGCCATCACGGGCTATATGTATATTTTATTGCTGTGCTGGAAGTCTTTCTGACAGTGGCTTAGGTGGTTGGCTTCCAATAAATTAATTTGTCCCTCCGCAAATGTGAGTTTTCAAAGATCGTATCAGAGGTTAGAAATCGTCGCAAAGATTCACCCGCTCAATCTCTCAATATGTTTCTCGTTATATCGTTTTATCAGTAGGCGATCCTTCCCCAGACGTAATCCTAGGGTGCAATCTTTTAACCGTTTAGGCGTTCGACCGTTTAACAGTCTCTCAACCTTTTAACCGTCGTTCAACCTTGGGGATTGTCAAAGCGCCCAGAAAATGCGGTTTTACAGCGGGTAATGGCTTATTACAAGTTACCTTAAACCATTCACATAGGCAGCGATACTGGTGGTGTGGGGATATCGTGCCGCGTCATATTTCTTGGAGATTATGCCCCTCGCATTGTTTAGCGGCCCTGACATGCTTGAAAGACGACTTTTCTCTATAAAAGCAAACGCTATCGGTACACCATAAGAGCCACTTCGTAGACTTATCCTCCGTTAAATCTGTTGTTCATGTACCAGCACTCTAACATACAAATTTTCGCCATGGCAACAGATTTTGTGAGTGTTGTTAATACAATATACTGTGTACCTACCTTATGCTAATAATATACAGTTCACACTCAAAGGCAAGACTGCTGTCCTCACTGGCGCAGCACGTGGCCTAGGCCTCACATTTGCCACCGCGCTGGCGAGCGCAAACTGCAACATCGCCGTGCTGGACATCCTCCATGAGCCCTCGCCTTGTCTTCTTGCACTGCGAGACCACCATGATATCAAATTGGAGTATTACCGCACAGACATAACCTCGCGTCGCGAGGTATCTGTTGCTATTGAGAAGATTGAAGCGGAGTTTGGGAGGATTGATATCAATGTCAACGCCGCGGGCGTTGTGACAGACGAGTCCTTTCTGACGACCACTGATGAGAACGTCGATCACACCTTTGCTGTCAACTTTACGGGTTCCTTTCTCGTGGCACAGGCTTGTGCCAACAGCATGGTCGCGCGGTATAAATCCGTCCATGGAAGCAAGCCAGCAGCGCAGCCTACCAATGGCACAATAATCTTGATCGCCAGCATCGCAACTTATATTGCGTCCAGCGCGCAGCAGATCAGCTGCTACGCAGCATCCAAAGCAGCCGTCAAGGGGCTGGTGAAACCCATGGCCATGGAACTTGCGCCGTATGGGATCCGAGTCAATTCCTTGAGTCCAGGGTACATGATGACAGATATGATGCGAGGATTGCAGGAACAACAACCACAGCTGGTGGACCAGTTTGAGAGGGAAACTTTATTTGGCCGAGTTGGAATACCTGGGGAATTAAAGGGTCCTATCCTGTATCTATGTTGTGCTAGCGCAAGTGGGTGGTATACAGGGCAGGATCTGTTGGTCGATGGAGGGGCAAGTACTTGGAAGCATCCAGCTATTTTAGCAACAGCCTAAGAAGAGTAGCTAAACCATATTCTGCGACTCCGTGTTAGCCTTGGCAATTAAAATATTGTGATGCATTGGATTTGCCATTAACACGATTATTTCATCGGTTGCGGAGAGACACTGGGTTTTATCCTTATCAGCGACGAACAGGCCAGCTGATAATGAAAATTTGGCTCGAGGACGGTCAATAACCAATGATGCAGCGGCGATGCCCAGGATACCGAAGCTGTTGACCACACCAGCTAGCCAGGCTGATTTGTAGGAATCAAACCCTGCAAGGCTGAAGAGCGTACCAGCCCAGGTGGCTATAGTGAGGATACCTGTCAATTGCTGGATCTGCTGGATTGCCAAACCCATGACAACGCGTCTACCAAGATGCAGTTTCCCCGAGTAGCGACCGCCGCGGACGAGATTGAAAAAGTTATTTCGTTCGTGGTATGATGCTTCGACAGTCGCTTCGAGCTGCTGCACTTCGACAAGAAGCTTAGAATCATCGAAATCCAAGTCGCCACGGATCTTGCCCAGAATATTGACCGCTTCTTCACGGCGATTGTTGGCCATCAGCCATCTCAGCGACTCGGGAAGGAAGAAGACAGTAAGAACAACAATTAACACAGGAACCGCCATAAATGCCAGAAGAAAACACCATCTAAACTCCACCTCAGACGACCTGACACCAAAATTTAGCAGTATGCAATCACAATTCCGGCGTAGTTCGCAACGAAGACGAGCGAGAAGTTGGAGCCGCGGTCGTGGGCTTGAGAGAGCTCGCTCACCCACGGCGGAACGGTAGTGTTGATGAACCCAATGCCGATTCCCGCGATGACACGCGCGCAGATAAACATGTTACTATTTTGACTGGCGGACATGATCGCCGCGCCGAGCATGCAGAAGAGTGAGCCGAGCCAGACGCCTTTTTTGCGGCCGAGCTTGTCGCCCACCCAACCTTTGCCCATCGGTCAGTATTTATAAGCGCATTACTGATAAAAAGAGGAGCGCTGGATGATTTGTCCGTACCTCCGATAAAACATCCACACATGGCACCGAAATAATACGCTGCCAGCAGGCCACCCTGCTTGGTGCTGTTGGTCACAACACCATTGGAACCAATGTCGGCCATGTCAATGAAGCCTGGCGTCGTGCTTACGGTGCCAAGAACCCCTTGATTATAGCCTTCGAATATGAGAGCAATAGCGGTGAAGAGGTTGAGAAGAAACATGAGTGCCTTTCCGGGCATATGTTTCCACAGTTGGACGGCCATGGTGAGTGCTGCGTACGCGGTTGGTCATGCATATGTCGGGCCACTGCGTTATGTGAGATAGAATGAGGTCAAAGAAGGTGAAGGTAGATGAGAGACAAGTACGGAGTATTACTGGGAAATCATTTGAATATATCGCAGGAGGATTGATAAACATTTATGTATTTATATTTATAATATACCGTCTCATGACGCAGGAGCACACGCCACTCAGTCGACCCCAGACCCAAGATACATTCATTATGCGGGGGAAAGCGGATCCGATACAGTACCGCGCTGATCTATCCCGCCCTCAGAGCTTACAGGAGAAATTTGAAGCCTTTCACCAGTTTAGCCTCCCTTCTCCGCATTCTTTAAATCGCTTCACCTGTACGCACCCACTCACCGTTTAGACATTTATCCGTTTAGCCGTTGAAGCGTGGGCTTGCCCGCCAATCGGTGGTTGGTTATGGTTTAAGTATGTATGTACTCTGTGTATCCCAGAGGTATAGCGCCTAGAGAAGAGGCGAAAAGAAAATCGAAATCAACCATTACTGACAGTGGTCAATGCACGGCCAATTCACCCACATTTTCGTCGGCGCTTGCTCGGCGGGCTCTATTGTGGCCCGTCGCGTGGCGGAGAACGGGGCCTTCGAAGTTTTGCTCATCGAGGCAGGGCCCGACATTGGCCCGTCCTCCATCCCACATGGTATGCGTGATGCCCGCCGAGTGCCTATGGCAGGTCAATCCGAGATCCTTGATCCCCACTATTTACTGGAATCTTGAAGTCGACGTCGCTTGCGAAGGGCGGATGATTGTCCCGCAGGAAAAGGTTATGGGCGGAGGGAGTAGTGTCAACAAAGGCACTTTTTTACGAAACACAGCCGCTGAGGCAAGGGAATGGGTTTCTTTAGGGAATGACGGCTGGAATTTCGATAGTTCAATCGCTGTATACGAGGGACTCGAAGGTAACACTCTGCGAGGTACAACCGGACCGCATCCCATTACCAGAGCGAGTATGCATGAAGGGGGAAAAATTGGCAGGTTTAGCTGCTTTCGTCAACGCCGCTGTATCTCGTAGTCTCCAGCGTACCCCGTATCTGCAGGCCACCGGAGCGGAGGGTGTCAGTCCGTCGTCCGTCTGTCGTCGCGGCTTCACCCGGGTCAGCTCAGCGGATACTTTTATCGACCCAATCAGGCACTTCCCTAATTTCACCATCTTAGCCAATTCACCAGTCAATCAGGTAGTTTTCGAGGACTGCAAGGCCGTGGCAGTCGTTCTGGCCAGTAGCCGCAAGATACACGCAACCCACGAAATCGTCCTCTGTACAGGGCAATATCTTCGCCGGCTATTTTGCAACGCTCGGGTATTGGTCTAATGGAGTTACTTAGACGATATGGGATTGCGCTTTTAGTCGAGCTGCCGGTGGGATTGAATCTTAGTGACCGTCCATGTATCCCACTCGTCGCTCGGCCATGAACCGGTGCTTACACGGACATGAATTATTCTTTGCAGATGCAAGCGCGATGGTTGTCGTCACTGCATCCTGGTGCCATCGACTTACAGTTGGTTTGTTTCTCACATCTCTTCGCCCAGTCCGCGGATCCTTCCATGCCACGAGAACGCCAGCCACAAAGAAGCTTGGGGGGCCCAGAGGCCGGTCATGTTGCGGGAATAGGATGTAATAAATTAGCCAACTTCACTCGGCACGGGGGAGGTCTGTTTCAGGGACCCGAATCGGATGCCGATAGTACATCCTAATTATCTGAGCACCCCACACGACCGAGCTCTGACACCAGAGGTTCTGCGCACAGCGTACGCCGTGCTTACGTCGCCCGACATGCAAAACATACTCACAGCTCCGTTGGGGATAACTGCGCAAGTTGTAGCCGACGATATAATGCTGGATGATTATATAAATGCTCAGTATTCGACAACTTATCATTTCTGCGGTTCGTGCAGAATGGCTAGCCATGAGAACTGCGGGGTCGCAGATGCAAGCGTGCCGCTCTGCGATCCGTGTTCCATCTGGACGACGGCAACGATTTCGCGAATCTCTTTCTGCACACTCGGGTGATCTCGGTCGCCGTTTCCACGGAGCTTGGTGATAATCTCGAATCCCTCTTCGTTGCGTCCGAACTTGAGGAGCCATCGAGGCGATTCAGGAATGAGCAGCGTGCCCATGAGGAAGAGGAAAGTCGGGATCGTTTGGTAGGCAAAGCAGAAGCGCCATCAGAACTATTCGGTGAAGGAGGTATCGAAGTTTATCCAGGAAGACAAGGCAATGTCGCCAAAGTTGGCGAGGAAAGTCAGGGCAATCATTTGGCCTCGGTGAGTCACTGGAGCTAGCTCTGCAGTCCACGAGGGGGCGATAACGATAATGAAGCAGACACCAACACCCGCGACGACACGGGCGCAGAGCATGTGAGTCAGATTCATGGCACTTGCCTAAAGGATAACTCCGACAGGACACCAGCAGTAGGCCATCCAGATCCCCTTGATACGCCCGTGGGCGTCTGAGAAACTGCCGGCACAGAAGGCTCCGAGGAGAGCGTCGAAATAGTACATGGCAGCGATGCCACCTTGCGGGGAAGGGTTGATGACTTTACCATGCTCATCGGCAAAGCCCATGCGATGCTACCATTGTGATATTTATTTATTTGGCGATTCTGATTATTTGGAAATAATGCCTCAAGAGGGGAGGACTGCGGTACTTATTCCATAGTCTGGAGCGACATTGACCGTCGCCATGACACCCTGACTCATACTATTATAGGAAATGGAAACAGCAGAGATTGCAGTAATCAAGTTGAGCAGTCTGGGTCTAGGTACCGTCCATCAGAAACTTTCTGGATCATGGTGAGTAAACTACAATGATAGGGAAAAGGTATCCAACAACGAATGCGAGGTAAAACTAAGGTACAGAAACCAAGACTAGGAGAGTTAACCCAGGATTATTGATAGATATAAGATCAGTGTGGTGTCAGGGATAGGCATTGATATTCCCATGGGAATTCCCATATGGGATTAGTCCCATCCTTCCCATGGGAGGGAAATGTCAATGCCTAGTCAGGGACATATAGGGATATTTATAGATGATGACTGGTTTCTATATCCACGTGATGATGGACAGAGAGATAGACGAATCCCGCGATAACCCCGTGGAGAAGATCGCCAAAATATCGGGCCCTGTGTTTTCTTGGTTCTCGACGGGACGTACGGGAATTGAATTACTCCATACTCGAAAACCTCGGAGGCGCTTTCCTCTTCCGTCTCCGCCTCCGCAATTACAAATCCCGGGTCTTCTTTCTACTCTCGATCTCCCCACAAGTCATAATCGACCTTCTCCTCCACTTAATCCTGTCTACTCGCTATTCTCGTCTCGATATTTCTATTTTGAGCTGACAAATTTCAACATGGCAAAGCTTCGCTCAAAAAATGGATAGTCGTGGTGATATAAGTCATCTCGCGGAAGGAGAACGGTGTTCAGAAAGGGTCGCTTATAGTCGTGATGGCGCCCGACTAGAAAAACTTTTAGAGTCTCGGGATCAGTTAGTCGAGATACTCGCGACCTAGGAAGCATTTGTACGATTCAAGATGCTCCTACAGTGATTTGACATTAGAGAGAATAACGTCGCTAACAAACTGCAATTCCCTACCTCCTAAGACAACAAGTCGCAATGTCTTTAGCGACAATAGGGCCCAGGAGATCCTCAATAAGTGCTTAGCTCTAGGCATAAGCAAGTACGACACCATCGCCACCATCACACGTATCACCGCCTAGAAAATCATCAAACAGTACCGCACCTGTTCTAAGTTCAACGTCGATATCGACAAGATCACCGGTGCTAATATGTGTAGTGGTGTGCCCGCAACCCTAACATCATCAAGTACCTTAAGGAGCAGCTACTTAACTCGAAGATTCTCAAGCTTGATGAGACCGGTGTTCTCTCCGATGCCAAGAAGGGTGTCTCATTCGCCCAGCAGGCTCTCGAATTCTCGGCCGTGCCGCTCTTATTCCCATTAACAGTGACACGTTGACTCCCAACACCATCTCGGGTAAAATTAATCGCACCGGGATTGCGATGGAGAGGTTTTATGGCAATGGCAGTAGAACTTGGAAAGGGCCAACTTTGGTTGCCGACGGTCAAGGAGATGATTATTGACCGGTCGTACATCGACTGAAAGTCTTTGAAGTGTATTAAAGTGCGACTGTCTAGTTGTAAGATTAATGACTTGCATATCCCTAGCCAAGAGTTGTTATGCTTCTTCCTCCCTATAGGAACCCGAGGCTACTGATCAAGTAGCTCTTGAAGCAGTCCTTAGTATATACATCTAAGGCTATACGAAGAACTTTCGAATACCAAAGGGCTTTACTAACGTGACGAATCCTGTCAAGAGCTAGAGGTTTACATGATTATCATACGTGCAACTAGTAGCTCAGTTATCTAGCTCATTGCCTGTCTATCCTCAGAGCCGGAGGTCTATAAAACTGTCTATCTTAACTAAGCTAGTGGTGCACATGCGATATGTCGCTAGAGCTAAGCCTTGACTTTAGGGGGTATTAATATGGACCTGACTGCCTCAAAAAAATCGACTGTTTTAGAACTAAATCTACCTGAGCCTTTACTCAGCCTTTCTACTATATATATATTATAATTAATTATTAAGGCGATAATATATATTATCTATAATACGTGGCTAGTAAGTACTTCTTAGACGATTAATGCGTTTAAAGCATTATCTATTAGTATCTATATATTCGTTGGTGTTTGAAACGGCCCAAGTCGCGCCAGCTAGACGATTGGTTCGCATTAAAGAAAGCTCCCCTAGAAATTACACAGTACGATGGCGCGTTGGCAAACAGTGAATTAGAGCAACCGTAGTCTGACAAGATAAATATTGACTCTAGGGAGGCCGCAAATACAAGCACTTGAACGGACTGTTCCGAAGTTCCAACTCGGAGATAGAAGCTACTCTAGGGTCCATCGTTACACTGGCTAATTTTAAATATTAGCAGATAGTTCATAGTCAACCCAAGGAAGTACGGTGAAAAGTTGCAAATATTTGCTAGAGGAGATAACGAAAGCGGATGAAGAGCGTTCAGCCTCGTCAGTCGTCGAACATCGTAACATCCAAGAATTCTTTGAAATAAACTCTAGCACACTTTTCATCGAATCTCCCTTCATGAGCTAAGGAATTACAGCAGAAAAGACCAGTTACTTGGGGATACAGCAACGATAGGGAATCAAGTCCCAGGTGGCTGTGTGGCGACATGAACCTGCAGGACTCGTGGTCCAGGCCATTAGCTTTGAACTGCCACATCACTGCCGAGTCTTCATGAGCCCTCCGAACCAATTGATTCACCGAGATCGGCGTTGTCAATTGGAGCTCAGGGGCAATGCGCGACCCTGACACGTTAAAGCCCTCGCACGGACGGGGCCGCAAAACCGGCTGAGCGTCGGCCAAAACCTGCTCCACCTTCAGATCAGGAACTAGCGTCCTCGTTTACCCTCGTTTTCGGATATGATGTAAAACTCAACGGTCGGTGCTTCCTAACATCGTTGCCCTTTCGGGATAGTAGACTGCTTGTCCTTGCCATTTTAAGTCAATAGACCGCTTATGTTGAGCATAATGACGGCATTGATAGGCAATAACTCGTTGACAAGACGAGGTTTTTAGTGTCGGTTTAGACGATCATTGTTTACGCCATTCGTGCATTTATTCTTGTTATTTTATATCCTTCAAAAGCACCTGCCCTTTGCTCTTTTGTTGTTATCCCTTGACCGCGGCATCTACATTTCGTATCTGCAAGTGAAATTCGTCGCCATGCTGTCTACTTTGCAACTATGGGTAGTGTTCGGGCTGGTAGTCTCTTGGACAGAGGCCTTCGAGGGCTCTGGTAAGTAATCGACAGAATAGTGTGCATTTCGGGCGTGGCTGACATGGTGAAGCTATGCACACCCCACACTCCCCAATCTATGGTCCATCAAGCAGCAGTTTCACGACCTGTACATCTGAGGAGATAGACCCCTGGTCCGTTTCGTCCATTTACTCCAGTGATACCACCATCGACGCCACTACTTCGGTTCAGGTGCCACCGCCGATGAACACCTCCGCCATATCGACAACCTCAACGGCATGTTTCAATAGTACAGTCACCACTACCATCATAGTATCACTAGTCTCAACAGACTGGTCTACTACCACCTGTACTACCACAACTACGACCACGAATATAACTACGACCACTACTACAGATACTACGACAGATACTACGACAGATACTACTACAGATACTACTACAGAAACTACTACAGAAACTACTACAGAAACTACTACGGATACAATTACAGTGCCGACAACCATTACAGTGGCTCCAAATCCCTGTCCGACCACCTGCAGCATGTACGTTTTAATGAGTTACATGAGAACAAGACTATGTCGGAAAAATTGACTGACCTTATCTCAAAGGTCCGTGGGAACCGTGAATTTGTTCTACTGGCCAACGAATCAGCCACAAAACATTTTCCCATCTACTTATGTCGATTCGCATCTCGATTACACTTTGTGAGACCTACTATTCGCGTTGCTGTCCATTGGGCTAACAATTATCGCCAAACATAGTACCTCACCGTCGGTGTATATGATCGTCAACACCCTCTATGGCTACAACACCGCCGGTCGAGCTGGGCCGTCAGGCACTAGCGTAGTGTTCCCCCTTGACCTAGACCAAGTCTCGACTATAGATATCACCAATTCGGCTACGCGACAGCTTACTCTGAATGACCTTGGTACAGACTGCCCACAGACGGAGGCTCCTTCAGTGATCGCGACAGCGGCACCTAACGGCCGGTGTGATCCTATTCTTGTGGCTCCGGAGCCTGTCAAATCCTGGGCTTTGCCTTGCAATGCATGCGGTCAATTCGGACTTTTCGACCCCCCGTATGCAGTCCCTCCGCTCACTGGAGGTCTGGTGCCGGCGACGACGACTGCTGCGATGACTCAGCCAAAGACACAGACTACCCCAAGAGTGACTTCTGCCACTGATACTACCGTCACGTCGGTAGACACTACCACAATACCGGTCACTAAAGAGTCCACCTCCTCCAGTACAGAGGCTACTTTGCCTGTAATAGAAACCTCTTCATCTCAGATTGAGGTTACTTCTTCCAGTGTCATGCCGACTCCGGCGTCATCTAGCATTGGCCGGGCTACTGTTTCAGCATCATCCTTCAGCTCTAACTCCAGTCCAGCTAATACTTCCACAATGTTCAATTCTGCGTCCAAAAAAGGTGGGTGTGGTGCATGGCTGGGTTTGAGTTTCTTTGTGTGGGCATTCTTGCTGTAATTCAGAGAACACGATACCAGAGCAGAAAGCTCACCATCATTGAGATATTCCAATGTGTTAACTTGGTTTCACCATGAAAGTAATAAATACTCACATTCTTATACCTTGTCCTTTTTTAATTTCAAGATACCCGATGAGCCGGGGGAAAGACAACAGACATACGTGCATACAAAACCAAATCTTATCTTCCATCTTGAAGTTTGGCGTCTGTCATCTGTATACCCTTGGGTATGCCGAAGCCGGGCGCGTCTGCCTATGGACTGAGGTTGCCCCAGCTCTTCTTCATGTCAAACCCGGACGGATAGGATGTTCCTGTTGGAGCGACGCGCCGACGGCCCCCGAGCTTGAAGCTCCAGATATACTCCTGGTGCCGGGAAAGGCAGCACTGCCTTAGAGTTTTAGCGAGAAGTGCGACAGAAGAAGTACTGAGAGTGGTCATTGAATGACGCTACAGCTTGTAGAAAGTAAAAGAGGTTATGAGTGCAATGATCGGGTGAATCAGCCGCAGATTATATAGGAAACATCGCGTTTATTGGAAGATTAGCTTCTCGTTTTCTTGCGGTCAAGTTTCAGGACCTTAAACTGCATTGATCTACTCGTTCACAGCCCTGCTGGGCCATTAGCTCTGGAGATTCTCTATATCATGGCCGACAATGATTCCACATCTCCGGGTTACATCTCCGGGTTATGGTGCTGGGGGCCAGAAACGTCTAATTTACCGTATTAGGAAGACTCGTTAGCTAACGGTAAATGGGCAGGGAACACCTTGTATCCGCTTTTCCGCCGCCCCGCTAGTCCTATCTGGGTATCGGAGATGTTTTGCCAATCAACACTTAAGCCTGATGTGGGCCAGGCAGCCTTCGATGATCACCTTTTCCTAATACAGACATCAGCGCGAAATAGCGTGGCGTAAACAAGCCTAATAACAACCTTAGAATTGGGGCCAGGAATATCTAACTCGCTGTACTAGGAAATGAGCAGGGAACCAGGTTGGGTCCGCTTTTCCGCCCCCCGCTAGTCCTATCTGGGTATCTAAGATGCCTAGCCAATCAATTCATGATTCCTCGAGAAAGTCGCAGGAATTGACCATTGACTGGCCCCCAAATTTACCGGCCCAACTCGGCAGCGAGTATATGGTAGGAAGCTAGTAATAGGCCCCGGAGCAGCTTATAAAAGGAGAATGTTCGCAGCGTACAACTGTTGCTTTCCGGATCCATTGACCATTACTTCGTCTTGGTGTGCATTTTCGAATTACAAGAATAATTATGAAGCTCATTTTCGCGGCTATTCTGCCGACTTTTACAGCCGCAGCATTAGCTCCACCTTCTGTCACAGTCGATGCTGGCACCCTTCAGGGTGGACAGTGCGAAAATACCCAAAATGCAGTCTTCTACAAGGCAATTCCCTATGCAGAACCTCCAATTGGAGAGCTACGCTTCGAGCCTCCAAAGGCTTACAATAAACAATACCCTAATGGAAAACTCGATGCAACTACTGCACCTGCCTCCTGCATTCAGTTTGGAGCCGAGTTTGACGCTACAGGAACTATACTTGAAGACTGGTAAGTCGAGTTATTGAAGCTTCTATCTCATAACAATTAATTTTTTTCAGTCTTTACCTAGATGTTTGGACCCCATCTAATGCCACCAAAGATTCGAATCTTCCTGTCAAAGTTTGGATATACGGTGGATCAGACACGTCTGGCGGAATCTCGAAAGGCCTATTCGATGGGTGCAACACTGCAGCGGAAGGTTCCATTTTGGTATCAATAAACTACAGAATTGGACCTCTAGGTTTCATGGCACTCAACAGTGCCGGGATATACGGTAACCAGGGAATTCAAGATCTTCTTCTCGGATTGGAGTGGGTCCAAAGCAACATCGCTGCTTTTGGCGGTGACCCGGTACGTCAAGTCACATTTAGTTACAAACTAAATTATTGAAGGCAAGCTTAACAATAAACCTCAAATACAGAAAAAGGTACTTCTGTTCGGTCAGTCCGCCGGTGCCGAGGACGCATTTATTATTGCCTCTCTTCCCCAGGCACCGTCTTTCCTCAACAGTGTCATCATGGAATCGGGTGCCGGAAAAAAGCTCCTATACAATTCGACAATTCAAAGTGTTGGTAAATCATATGCTCAAACACTTAACTGCAGTCCCGATGATGTGAGTGCGAAAATTTTCGATCTTTGTTAGCGGAATGCTGACTTCTCTATAGAAAGCCTGTCTTCAGTCCAAGACTGTTGCTGACTTGAAGAAGGCGTTCAATAGTGATGTCTTCCTGCAGGAGGGAATTGGAGCAGGCGGACCACTCGCTATCACCACCTCGGGGACACATGCTTTCTATCCCTATGTGGATGGAGATGTCATCCCCGAGGAACCATTGAGTCGCGGGGTTCAAGTGCCGGCCGTTTTTGGATCCAGTATGTGCAACATTATTTATATCGCTCATTCTTGATACAAGCCCACTAATTGGAATCTAAAGACAAAAACGAGGGTGTCATATACGTCACCGCCAAGGTCGGAAATCTGTCGAATGGCGACAGTTTAACGCCGGCTCTATACAAGAACTTCCTCCGCGATAACTTTGGTATCGCCGCCGCACTTATTGAGAAATACTACCCTCTCTCTATGTTCGAAGCTCTCGCCGGCGGTAATATTCACTATGGTGTGTTCTACGCCATAGCACAGGTCATAACCGACTCCGACTACAAGTGTGTGGCCTACGAGGGTTTGGTGTCAGCCGCACGCAACAATATTCCCGTTTGGACATATCAATATACTCACAATAACACATGCCCATGGCTGGGCACCCTGAAACAGCTCCAGGGTCATCCGGAGGAGATGGCGCTAGTTGGTGCCACTCATACCTCCGAAATCCCGTTTGTCTTCGGTAACATGAACAACCAACCTCTTCCCGGCGGGACTTGCAATGCCACAGAAGCCGAGGACCAACTCAGCAAGCAGATGATGAGCTTGTGGACAGCGATGGCAGAAAATGCCGATCCGTCGACAGATGCCATCCAATGGCCACAATTCACTCTAGAAAAGAATGTGTCGAGTCCCGGATTGATCTTCGCAGATTCAACCCTGTCTGGCCAAGTCGACTACAAGAGTTGTTTACTGTGGAACAAAGTTTATAACCTTATTGAATCAGGGAATGGTACGGCCACGCCGATTCGTGGCAGTGGAAAGCCAACGGCTTCGCCGTCTGCTACTTACCAGACTAGCGGTGCAGCAACCACTGGGTGTGTAATCTGGGGTGTCCTTACCTTGGATGTGATATTGTCAATTGTATTTGCATAGATTCTAGCACCAAAGTGCCTGTGAAAGCTTTTGCTCATGTATTATTGCCAGAGGGAGAGAATGGATAGGTGGATTGCCCGTGGACGGAAGAATTTAAAGATCTATATATTTGTTATTATGTGGGAGGAATAGATGAGCCTTATTCTTACCTGCTCTGGCAGTTGTATGATTGAATCATCATTATTGTTGTTACAAATACACATTTGATTAGACAGTAAATAGTAAGAACCAGTGGATTTTTCAGCACGAAGAGCAATGATTAGGAGCCTTATATACATTAAGAATCATCACAATGCTTCTATTCGACGGTCTCATTATCAAGCATAGTCCTAAATAATCTTCTCGAGCATCTCGTTTAGCTCCTGCGCCACAAACCTTGGGTTATCCTTTTGCACAAAGTGACCCGCGTTCGGGGCGAGGATCGGGCCCTTGCTGAACTCAGGTTCCGTGATCTTAGCCAGCCCTTCATTGCAGCGCTGCCAGTATGGGGACGAAACGGTTGGTCACCGACTTGGGCAGACCCATCTTGGCCGACTCCTCAGCGAACGCGTCGAAGTCGTGGCCCACTATCGTGACATAGGGTCCGTGGCCATTGGGACCCCGGAGCAAGGGTCCGTCGCTGGCCGGCAGCAACTCGCGTAGGTTTCGCCGGCTGAGGCCTTCCTTGCTGCCGACGTCAGGATGGAAGACACGACGGGTGCCGGCCCGCACAGCGAGGATGGCTTCCACAGGAATAGGATGTATTGTGGCTGGATCGAACTCTGGGGCATCCGGATCGGGGAAGACGGAGATGAAGTCGGAGTTGGCCAAGACACTGTCCAGTAGCAACAGCGCAGTCACGGTACCGGAATATTCTTGGGCGTAAAGACGGGCCAGCGCACAGCCGATGGAGTTGCCAACCAGAACCAAGGAGACGGAGTCCACGTCAACGCCCAGCTTCTCCCCGGTGACTTGGATGAGCAATTGGCGCAGATCTTGCACGGAGGCAATACAGTCGTGGCCGTGAGTGGGATCCTCTGCTCCAGCGTCCTGGGGATCGCGCTCGGTGGTCTGGCCTTGGCCGAAACGATCGTAGGTCAAAAAGGCGGGGAGGCTGCGACCATTACGGAGTGCTTTTAGCTGAGCAATGAGGGATGCCAGAAGTCTTGGGACAGATCCAGACCGTTGAGAAACAGGACCAGCACGGGCGTGGTGGTCGTCCCAGGTGCTTGGAAGCTGTAACTCAGCTGCACCGAGGGCTTGATAGTGAGGGCAAGAAACTCAACGTCCGCCATCTTGGAGGTGGGAGCTGATGCTTTCAACATGCAAAACGTACGAGAAACTGTACGGGCGTGCGAGGAACAACAAGAAAAAGGGAATCTGGTTCAGACAAGACTTAGACGGTCGGGTGCGGCGCTATTCGAGGAGTGCGGTCTTTATTGCCGTCGTATCTGCGAGGCCGAGAGAGATAAAATGGGAAAGAATTGAGTAAGAAACGACACGTGCTGCGGAAGTGGAAGCGTGAAGGTGAAGGTAAGATTGGTGGCTGGCTGCGCCTCCACCCCCCCTCCTTTCCGCTAGCTCATGTCGAGTAATATACTCCGTAGACATTTCCACCAATGCGTCCTGATAACAAATTAACTTCCAAAATTGCGGTCCCTATTCCAGGAGCCTAGGCTCACGGTCCCAATCGGCCCATGATCCACGTCCCATGATCTAGCTGGGCCGGATGTCAGCTAACTGACGACCTTACTGCATCACTGACCTGAGCGGCTACATGTCATCGTATACGGTTTTCAATCTGATGGGGTTAAAGGGAAAGCCATTACTATTGATGGCTCTTCTCATGAGACTATCATACTTGCGTTTAGTCTTTGAACAGCGAACTAGGAGAATATAAAAGAAGCCAAAAATACTAGAAGGATTTAAGATTAATACTAAAATTAGTCTACGTTGAACTACAGCGTGATTCTCTAACCCTACTAATAAAAGCTTCCTGGGTTTAAACCATAAACTGACTAGCCCCCACTGAAGTTCAGCGAAAACCCCACTATTATTCAAAATACACCCCCTACTAGACTAGGCTTCCGCAGGACCTAGGTCTAGGTCCGAGTATTGGACCTAGCCCTAGACCTAGCACTTAGACTGCGCCAAAACCCGCGCCAACCCGAACCCAACCCAACCCGAACCCGCAAATGGGTTGGGTTCGGGTCGACTTCTTGGACCCGCACGCGGGTTTTGGGTCGAGGTAGATAACCCAATCCGAACCCGCATAACCCGAAGTCAGCGATAGGGGGGTTCGACCGGAGGTACAGGACTATTAGCGACCGCTGCTACTACCTAATTAGCTAGTTAAATGCATCTCCAGAGCTAGGTCTAATCTTTAGGGTTGGGTTAGGTTTTGGGTTTTGCGGGTTATGGCGCAGTCTAGACGAGGTCTATACTATATACAGGAATACAAAGTGAACACTGCGCCCGTGAGATCGGAATCGGTAAGTTAGATAGAATTCTTGCACCGGTGGTAGAATCGTGTCGATGAGACTGGAAGTTCGATTCCGGAGTTTTCGTACACTCGTAATTTCGGAGTCCGGAGTTACAGTTTCATCCTGTTGGGGGCAGAAACAAAATTGCATGTTTAAAAGGGATCGATCACATCACATCGCAAGTTCTTGGAATGCAGGATAGTTAAAAGATACTCTGTCATAATGAAGGCCACAGGCTCGTTTGCAACTTGTCTCCTAGTATCAGTGGGGAGGAACTCCAGTGGAGTGGCCTTCCCGGGTCAGCCTAACTACGCCGCCCTTGTCTCTCCGTATAACCTCGACCTTCTCACAACTCCGGCCGCCATCGTCTTTCCTCAAAATGCAGCACAGGTTGCGGCAGCCGTCAAGTGCGCTGTCAACGCGGGCATTAAGGTCCAAGCAAAGAGTGGAGGACACAATTACGGCAACTTTGGGTCGTCGACCGGGGAGCTTTCAGTGAACCTCGAAAACCTCCAGGACTTCAGCATGGACCGCACTACCTGGATGGCTAAATTCGGACCTGGAAACCGCCTCGGTCAAGCTACAGAACTTATGTATAACAACGGAGGACGACAAGCACCGCACGGAGAGACATTCGATGTCGGACTGGGTGGACACGCCACCGTGGGAGGCGCCGGGGCTGCATCACGCCAGCTGGGACTCCTCGTGGACTTTGTGGAAGAGGTGGAGGTGGTCCTCGCGAATTCGTCGATCGTTCGAGCATCGAAATCGGAGAACGAAGATCTTTTCTTTGCCGTCCGCGGCGCTGGCTCCAGCGTCGGCATCGTGACGGACTTCACCATCCGCACTGTACCCGCGCCGCCGGTGACTGTTGACTATACCTATGTGTGGACAAAGCAAAATGTCTCGTCTCAGGTGAAAATATTCCAGAGCTGGCAAAAGCTCCTCGCTGGCGGCACTCTACCACGTGAGATGTCATACGGATTGACCGTCACGGCCAGTAGTATGGTGCTGTCGGGGGTATACTTCGGTAGCGAGGACGAGTTTGCGACGCTCAACCTCCCTAGCCACTTTGCAACGCCTCCACAAGTGAGCGAAACGAAAGTCTACACCAGCTTCTTTGAGGCGTCCAAGGCGTTGGACGGGGCAGTCAGCGCCGCTGGCATTGCTCTTCCGTCGCACTTTTACGCCAAATCCCTTGTCTTCACTCAGAAGACTCAGATCCCTGAAGCGACCACCCAGCGTGTTTTCAACTATTTGGCCAACACAAAGAATGGAACAGACTTGTATGCCCTCAACTTCGACGGCCTCGGCGGGGCAGTGAGCGATTTCTCTCCATCGGAGGCGGCCTATCCTCACCGTGACACGCTTTACTTCATGTTCTCCTTTGCTCGTACCAGTAGTAACCTCACTGATACGACGATCCGCTTCCTGGACCAATTAAGCGAAGTTCTGACGAGCGGCAATCCCAAGGCATATTACGGACAGTATGCTGGAAATGTGGATCCACGGGAGACGAACGAGAAGGCCCTGGCCGGGTACTATGGCCAAAACCTTGATCGACTCAAGCGTATCAAGAGGGCAGTGGACCCGAACGATGTTTTCCACAACCAGCAGAGTGTCCCTGTGTCTTGATTACTTGAGTTTCTCCGCGTACCAATTCTAGCAATAACATAATCATTCTGGTCGAAATTAAGAAACTGACATGCAACTGCTAGAATAGCCCCTTCATTGGATCCAGGGGGTTTGAGATCGTTTCCGACCAGAAACGGCAGCAAATTATTTGGTGTTTGTATTCATGGTTTTAATTAGGGAAAATGGTAAACCTTTGAATCATGGCATGGCTGTGCGGAAATTTCCGAAAAAGCAAAAGTCGAAGCTCTTTGGAATGTTAGGCAGCGTTCAGATATGGATCTGGTCAAGTCGCTGTTGACAAGCCAGAGGTGCCAGGAAATCAAAGTTGCGATCACATTCAGATAGCAAGTCGGAGACTTCTTCTTCCTCGGTATGCCATCGATCCGGTGTCCAGCATCGGCAGGCTTTGAACTAGCTAGACAGATGCAGCTGGGGTACTTCATCAAATGGAATAGATGGAAGTATGTCAATATATTAAAGCTAAGCAGGGTGGCTCATCCTTTCCCCCAGTTTGCATGGTCGCATATATATCATGACCCGAGCACATCAAAATTGAGCACCTCTTCCGTCCTAAATAAGAATTCATCGAAGTCAAAGCGGAAATCTTGGAAAATATCATCGAAGCACACCCCTGCGCCTTCCACCAGGGGCTCACACCCACTCTGTGCGACTGGACCAGTGGGCTGTAAGATCTTGGCGGACAGGGCCTCAAAGGTACAAATGCACTGCTGAATATATGTACTCAGGTGGACATGTGCGCGGAGACCTGCCAAAAAATCCTGCCATGATTGAGCGACTGAGTCGGTAAAGAGATCGGATCCGACCATGGCTACGAGGAAGATCACGCCCGCGATGTGAAGGTAATAAATACGTGTCCACCAAGGGATGATATCGATAGGCTCACAGGGCTCTAATGTTTCGGTCACCAAGGCAGTGACACCTTGCGCGGCATCGACGCACATCTTAGCACATTCTCTCAGAAGCCGCTCGCTGAGAGTTGCGGGATTCGTGGACCTTGATTGGCCATTGGATTTCATGGAGTAGAAGCGGGCGAGTATTGGCCTGTAGAGATAGATACGAGAATGGAGAAAACTATACAGTGGACGATATTAGAGAAGCAATTCTCAAAATGCAAAGAAATAGCAGTACTAGCTTACCGAAGGTGTATCAAATAGCGCTCCATTCGGACTGTCCTGTCATCCAGAAACTTAAGATTCCGCAATTGTAAATCGTTTGGAAGACTGGTCTCCCATTTGTTGAGACAAGCGTCTAGGCGGACCGCCGCGGTGTGGTATTCCTCCTGTTGATCTAGACGTGGCACCGCAGATCGAGATGCGAGGGTGCTTCGTGTCTGAATCTGGGCCATCTGAATCTGATTGCCTATCTCGTGAAGTTCCAGTTTCCACCGAGAGTGCCCCGTTGTATCGCTTCCCTGCTGACAGTCGCTTGTCGGCCATGGAATGAGTGCCAGCACTGATGTCTTTCCGAGTGACCAAGAAACACACCTAATCATATCAGCGAGGTTTCTGGGGTGATATGAAAACGGATAAATACTTACCGATCCAATGCAACACAGCTCGCCCAAACCTTACGCTTCAAACGCGCGTCATTGCCGGCATCTTTGCCTAAGGGAGTCTCAAGGGAATTACAACACATTGTTTGTGCGATGCGCATTGCCAGTCCAGCAGTCATCCATGTCTTTTGCTGATGAGTTGTGCAATGGAGGTATCGGTTCATAAGCATCAAGCACTGCACACGCTCAAGAGAGCCGGGTTCCCAAATAATCGACTCGGTCGGGAATAGCGCCCACGCACGTTGAAAATAAGTATTTCCTTCTTCATTCCGCAAATTGAATGGCACCCATTCCTGTCTTTGCACTGCGAGGGCAAATATCACATTGAGGATACTGAGCTGAATGTGATGGTCCGTATGCGCGAGGCAACCTTCCGTCGAAAATGACTTCGCATATATCTGCGAAAACTGATCATAATCCAACACAGGCTCAACCGGATGTATGTGTCGCCAATATATATTGACGAGTTGATCTGCACGAGCGCGGGAGGGCAACTCGGTGGACTCCGAAAGTGGGGAAGATCGCAGGGGCAAATCCAGATCTCCAAACAAGGGCGCATCGACCAGTGGAACAAGGTATGTCGTAGCTGGTGGGGCTCGACCGGCTCTCTCCTCTATAGCCGCCGCCACCTGGCCGGCGAACCGGCCGTGGGCTGCGTAGTATGGACGGTTGAGATTCGAGTCCGAGTTCGATTCTCGGTTATTATCCGAGAAGGCGTGTGACTCAATGCCTGGGAGAGTCAAGCTTGTCGACGTCGAGGACACCTCAATCGAATGAGCTGGTGAGAATGAATGGGCTGGTGAAGATGGAGGGGAAACAAGGTCAGGAACATGCTGAGGTGTTTCCCTTGGGCTAAGCTTGCGCGGAATGTCGCCAGCCGCACCAGGACGATTGTAGTTACAAGACTTTCCTTTGGCTTGATACCTAGTGCATGCTGCACATTCTTTGTATCAGCATGGCTCGTGAGCACCAAAGAGGTAAGTGAAGGACAGGGGTGTAGATTACCTGGACGGCTGCCGTCACATTTGGTCTTTCTTGACCGGCATTCCTGACAAGCTGTGGTGACTTTCAATCGCTGTCTGCGTATTACCCACGAGTCGTTGTGCTCTGGTTGAATCATGTTGACCGTTCCAACCGTAGCTATGGTTGAGTTCCCATTATCGTGTCTGGCCAGTGGACACCCTGTAGGTATTGACAGAGCACCCAACACGGCGACGAAGTAGGAGGGAAGTCGTAAGGCTAGGCTGGAAGATGATCATGCGGGGGCGAGAACAAAGACACGCACTGCCCAATCAAATGGTATTCCGTCGAGAAGTACCCCATAGCGGAGCGCTATATGATTGGGTATTGGCACCAAGTCTCACTAGCCAAGACCAATGGAAAGCAGGACCTCCTGGACCCACTGTTATTCCAGTATCCAATGGACATGCGTCCCGCTTTCACATCACGGAGGGCATCAACAATAAATACTCCGGTCTCCCTGAACGTACTATATAGACCACAAAAGCCGGACTTGTAAAAGCGCGACCAGATAGCTGTGTCCGCTTGGTGCTGTTTATTTCGATCACCATGTCCAGCGCGACCAAAGTCAATGCCGACCCGGCCGAGGTTGAGAAAACACCCGTTTATGATGGCCATGGAACCGAAGAAGATCCATTTGTTGTGGAGTTTCAAAAAGATGATCCGGGCAATCCCATGAATTGGGGCTCTTTCAGAAAGTGGTTTATCACATTTGTTGCGACGATCTCGGTTTTTGCTGTCACTCTGACCTCCTCCGCATACTCCGCCTCCGCCAACGAGGTCTTTCAAGACTTCGACATTAGCTCCGAAGTCTTCACTCTCGGTCTTTCCCTTTTCGTCCTAGGGTTTGCTATCGGTCCTGCCCTATGGGGCCCTCTGTGAGTACAAGCAACTCTCGATAAACAACTCTCTAGCACTGTCTTGCTAATCTTCTTTAAGATCTGAACTATACGGTAGACAGAAACTGTGGATCATTACCCACGCCGCTATGGTAGCCTTCCTCGGGGGATCAGCTGGGAGTAAAAATGTGGCTACTCTATTGATATTGCGCTTCTTTGCCGGCACATTTGGGGCATCTCCCCTCGTTAACTCCGGCGGCACAATCGCCGATCTCTTCCCACCAGCTCAACGTGGACTCGCCCTCACCGTTTACTGTATTGCACCATTCCTTGGTCCCGTCCTTGGCCCGGTTATAGGAGGCTTTATCTCCGAAAATGTTGGCTGGAGGTGGGTTCAAGGCGTGTGCACTATCTTCATTGGGATTATCGGCATCCTTGGAGTCATCTTTATTCCCGAGACTTATGGCCCGGTTCTGCTGCAACAAAGGGCCAGTAGTTTGTCTAAGGTGGATGGAAAGGTTTACATTAGTGTTCTTGAAAAGAGTCAGGGCAAAAAGAAGCCATCTGAAGTCTTCCAGCGAGCCCTGTTTCGTCCCTGGATCTTTCTGTTCCTTGAGCCAATCGTCTTGATCGCTTCGGTCTATATGGCAATTATCTATGGTACAGTTTATATGTTTATGGGAGCTATGCCAATTGTTTATAACGAAGACCGTGGCTGGAGCGAGGGAATTGGGGGACTTTCATTTCTTGGTATTGCCGTCGGCATTGTGTTTGGTCTTATCTATGCGATCTGGGACAACAACACTCGATATATGAAACTGGTCCTCGCGAAAAGCACAACCGCCGAATCCCGACTACCACCTGCTATCGTTGGTGCAGTCGCCCTCCCGATTGGAATGCTTGCATTTGCATGGACTAATTACCCCAGTATCCATTGGTTGGTAGCTATCATTCTATCTACACCTTTTGGCTTCGGATGTGTTCTTGTTCTACTGCCAATGATGAACTACTTGATCGACTCCTATACAATCTATGCGGCTTCAGTCTTGGCCGCGGCTGCTATTTTCCGTTCGGTCATTGGTGCTGTGTTTCCTCTGTTCACGACACAGATGTATCACAATCTAGGTATTCACTGGGCGTCTAGCATCCCGGCCTTCATGACACTGGTATGCATGCCGTTCCCGCTGGTCATGTATCGGTACGGTATGCAAGTGCGTATGAAGTGCAAGTACTCGTTTGAAGCGGCGGAGACCATGAAAAAGATGCAGATGCAGCAGGCCCAGGCCAATCCAACAAAAGAGGATGATGCGGGCTCAGAATAAGGAGATATGACACGGCGGATTCGTGAATGTGAAGTCTAAAGAGATTTACATGAATTTCAAGTATTAGGGGAATCATCGGATTCATGCTGTGAATAGAAGCTGGTAACAAGAAAGATCAGGCACTTTAACTGTATAGATCTAATATTTTTGGGAGTTTACAAGAAACACCACCCCTTTGGATAAAAAACGCTACTTCTGCCTGTATTTTCAGGTGTCGGCTGTCTTTCATATTTTTAAGTCGACAGAATTTTGTGCTGATCTACTCACCCTGTCTCTCTATCCCTGTGGCTCATATAGCTAGCAGTGTTGCAGTGTTGTGGTCAGCATGGTCGGCATCATGGTTGGCAACATTGGAGTCGGCAGTATTAGACAGTATCGGAGTCCGTAGCATCACGATAAGTTGGTAGCATCAGGGTTGGCTGAATCTTGATCAAGCTCGGTCGCACAGAGGGAGGAAAAGCGGTCGGTCTATTTGTACAAATAGAGAAAGTGGTCAAGATATGACTACTGGTGGAGAAGGCGCTCATAATAGATACCTCAAAGCCAAGGCAGGAGCTTTTTAACTATTTTTTTCCCCTAGAGGGTGGCGTTTTTACTAAACTGCTTGAAATATCCAACCTTGAGCACGAGTCTGTATCCCGAACCATTAATGTACATATAACACTCTAGTCAATACAAATAAAAATTTATTTGAAATATGAATTCAAGGGTGGAATTTCTATGCTCTAGCTGCATAAAAGGCAAACCATCATCATAACAAAATTTGATCAAAGTGAGAAAAAACATACACATTGCAACAATTATCTCTCATTTCTCGAGCAGCACTATTCCCTCATCAACATTGGAGAACATTCATGCCGTTGAGAACTTGGCATGAGGGCTCCGGTCCACGACATCTGCTGCCAAAAAGCTCAGACTGGGACTTTGGATGATATTGAAAATCGACAGCTCGGCGGCAGCATGGCTAAAGAGCATATTCCGCACTTCCACAGCAACAAGTGAATCGACACCCTGCTGTGATGGTGACTGGCCCAGGTCGACTTCTTCAACAGGAACCAAGAACATATCGGCAAGCATTTCCGCGATGGCTTTCCCCACGACTCGGGTGGCTTCATCGCGGGATATGCATGCAGATATCTGTGATGCCAGGGAGTCGTTGCCATTTTGCTCCTGTTCCTGTCCGCTGGAAACGGGTGGGCGATACTTGAGGGGCAAGACACGCATGTCACGACCAAGATCACCATCAGCGTCCCAGTGGCGTCCAGGGCCTGAGTTTATGCCACCTACAATAAATTGGGGGTCATAAGGGTTTATGATGGCCGACTCAAGTGAGGATAAGACGTGATCCTCATCAATTACCCTGCGTCCGGCCTTGAGAAGGGATCTGCGAAGGGCCTCGGATGAACTGGCCTCCGCGACATAGCCGACCGCATTCACAACGGAGAGATCAATTGAAACGGCAGGGAGACCGCACTGCTTAACGCGCCAGTGTGCCAGGGCGTCCTCGTATGCACCGGCAGCCGAGTATGCCGACTGACTGGCATAGCCAAGGATTCCGTTGATGGAAGAGAAGAGCACAAAGAATTCGACATCGCCTGGTATGTTGAACTGATTGTGAAGATTCCATGCGCCAGCAACCTTGCTCTGGATCGTAGCCTTCCAGTCTTCCAGTTTCATTTTCTCCACGAACGCGTCCTATTCAGAAGATAATTAGTCTCCAAGCCATGGATCGAGACAGCATGGTTTAGACATACCCTGAGAACAAAAGCAGCATGGATAATACCCCGGATGACTGGCAGGCCCTCCTGAGCGCATAAATCGATGGCCCGGGCTAGGTCATCTTCGTTGGCGACGTCACAGCTGACAGGCAAGACGCGGTGGCATCCTGCTTCGCGAAGCTCATCAGCAAGTGCCGCTGTGTTTTCACTTCTAGCAGCGCTGCGTGAAAGGAGGATAAGATTCCTCGCTCCACGGGAAACCAGCCAGTGCGCCACCGATTGTGCGAGGCCACCGCTGCCACCCACGATCAAGTAGGAGACAACGCCAGAAAGATTTGCTGCCCCTGTCCGTGGCAAAACCGGAACCACGTCACCCGGGCTAGCCGAGAAAATAGCTTTGCCTAGATAGCGTTCATTCTGAAGGTGAGACGACTTCGAAATTTCCCCCAAGGGATATATATCAATAGGATGCACTGGTGTGATTGCCTTGGCCTTGATGAGCTGCATCACTTCATTCAAACATCTGTGAACGTCTGGGGACCGATGCTTCAACAGACTGTGGATATCAACAGCCGCGAAGGAAATGCCATAAGAGAAAGGTCGCATCTCCAGAAAGCTGTTTTCCTCCGAATCTCGCCATCCGGTTTCGATAAAATGGCCAAGGGGTGCTACAAGTTTAAAGCTCTCATGAAGGAGCTGTCCGGGTAGCGAGTTGAGTACAACGTCGACTCCACGGCCATTCGTAGATCGGCGAGTTGCAGGGCCAAATGATGCATCTTTACAGCTGAATATGTGGTCGGCAGGTATGCCATACTTCAGCATGACCAAGCTCCGCTCACTGGGGCCGTCGACGGTTGCGAATATTTCTGCTTCCAGGTGTTGTGCAATCATGATGGCTGCTTGTCCGATATCTCCGGCTGCGTCATGAATCAGGACAGAGTGGGTGTTCTGTAACCGTGCCATCTCCACGAGTGCAAAATATGCTGTGAGAAATGCCACGGGTATTGATGCTGCCTCTTGGAAGGTCATGTCAGCAGGGACGTGGATCGCACAGCTGCAATCCACTACCACCCGGTTCGAAAATGACGATCCATTTGACAGACATAGAACACGGTCACCAACAGAGAAGCCTCGCGAGGCTGCATCAGTGCCAATTTGGGTGATAGTTCCCGCGCATTCAAAACTGGTCAGAGAATTCTCTCCTCTGCGCAAGGACGCCCCAAAGGCTCTGGGTTCGAGTTGAATTGAAGACGAGGAAAGCACTGCTGAATTTTCAAGGACAGACTCATCATCACTGAAGGCCAGACAATCGGGTCGCAAGGTAAGACGCCGATCTGACTGATAGAACGGTTCAAGAGCCACCATCTCCCGCGTGTCGGCATTCAGAGCGCGAGAGGAAAGGATTCTATCTCTCAACACATCATGGTAGATTCGAGGGATAAGGATCACGCCATCCCTCTCGGCAAATTCCAGTTCCACCGGGCCCTTCTCTGCGGATTGATCATTCCCGGTATCGCTAAAAGCATCGCAAAGTACCCGTGCGATTGAAGACGCACCGACCTCGGACCACTGTGGTCCTTTGGGGTCTAAATCCATTGTCAGGAGTTTACGACCAACGTATTCGCTGCGAAGAGAGCGAACAAATCCAGGAGCAAGACTCAAATCGGGCCTTTCACAGTCAACAGCACCACCACGAGTGACCCAGAGTAGGTCTTGACAGGAGGTACTCATGGCACGCACCCCTTCTAGGGATGCTGAATCGAGGTCATAGAGAATGGGCTCGTTCATTTCGCCTACGAAGATGGCAATTTTGCCGGAGAGAATTTCGGGTTTGGCGACGACAGTTTCAAGATTATGAACAACCACTTCGTTTCTTTCTGAGCTGTTCGTGAAAATGGAAATCGAATCCTGGAGACTCTCCAGCCATGATGCCGGGGGAGGACCACTTTTATGGCTCGTAACGAGGATGAAGTTGCTTGGATTTATCCTCTGAGATGAGGATATTGGTACGGTTGACAAGATTATCATTGAGCTCCAGGTTTCACCTTCGCAGTCAGGCAGCTCGAGAATGGGTTCGGTGAATCCAGCGCTCCGAAGATGATGATCCCAGAACCCATTGGCGGCCATTGTAGCTTCCGGTTCCTTGCGCTTCTCGGTCAGCGGCTGATCAGAAACCAACTTGCTGACGAACTCCACATCGATCTGATCTTTGATATCTTCTATCAGCAGGAGGGATCCACCGGGCCTGAGGAGACGCTGAATCCTGTCAAGCGAATCTGGAAGGGATTTGGTACCCCGATTCAGGTAAGAAGCAATGACAATGTCGTAAGTGGAATCTGCAAAGCCTTGTGTTGGGAGATCATGATTGATGTCAAGTTCGTCGAAAGACAACAGGTCACCCCATGACAGAAATGTTTCTCGCGCCTAAACATAGAATCGCCCGGTAGGGGGGGGGTACCCATAGTTAAAAAGTCTTGGCAAGGGGGGGGGTACCGAGTCAACACGGTACCCCCCCCCTAAGTAGGTCAAATCTTAGTATTTTTCGATCGGGTCTTTTAAATCTTTTAATATTAAAGCCTTTCCAATCTTTTGGCTTATTTACATTTTTAGATTTCGACCTAGAATAGTGAGGGCTAAGGGGGTCTGGTTTTCGTGAATTATTTTTGATGGGGGATGCCAAGACCTTTTCGCGCGGGTAGCCTATCCCTATTTAAGCTAGACATCCCTTATGTAAGTACTAGGCTTAGCTATTAGGCTAACTTCTAGACCCTATAAAGTCCTTAAGGCTAGTATCAGGGCTAATAGTAATCCTTTAATATCTCGCGAACGAGGTAAGCTATTAGAATAAGGGAAGAAGTTCTAGATACTATAGCCCTCTCGCTACTAGGCTAGAGGATTTATATTACGTAAGCAAGCCTTATACTAGGATAATTAGTAGGGAAAGGGAGTTTGAAACTTTTTACTAGATGACTAATCCTAGGTAGGCTCGTTTAATAGAGGGAGTCTCGGCGGTTAGATTAATATTAGTAGTATCTTAATTAGGCTAGTATCCACGAAGTTATTAAGCGATGAAATCTATTAAGCTTAGTGGTTATAAATATATATCCTAATAATATATTATACTAATATATAAGAGGAATTAATAGAGTGATATATTCTTAATACTAGTAGGATATATATATTAATTCTACTATAGGTATAGCGTAAAGGGGTCTATAAGAGAGATATAGGTAGATAGAATAATAGAGAGGATAGTATAGAGGATAGAATATAGGGCGGAAGGGGTTAGTTAGTAGGCTAGGTAGAGGCCTAGGGGTAGGCTAGATAGTAGGCTAGATAGAAAGGCTAGGTGAAAGGCCTATTAGAAGGCCAGTTGGAAGGTATAATAGTTAAAGGCCCGCAAGTCTGCTAGGTGGAGGCCCGTGGGTATAATAGGTGGAGGCCCGCGGGTCTTACTAGTTGGTAGGCTAGATGAAGACCCGCGGGTCTGCTAGATAGAGGCCCGCTAGTCTAATAGACAGAGGCGCGTGGGTCTGCTAGATGGAGGCCTGTCGGTCTGATAGTTGAAGGCCCGCGGGTCTTACCAGTTGGTAGGCTAGATAGAGGCCCGCTGGTCTGCTGGGTGAAGGCCCGTCGGTCTGATAGTTGAAGGCCCGCGCGTCTGCTGGATAGAGGCCCGCTAGTCTGCTGGGTGGAGGCCTATCGGTCTGATAGTTGAAGGCCCGCGCGTCTGCTGGATGGAGGCCCGCTGGTCTGCTGGGTGGAGGCCTATCGGTCTGATAGTTGAAGGCCCGCAGGTCTTACCAGTTGGTAGGCTAGGTGGAAGGCCTATGGGTCTGATAGATAGATCCTAGGTGAAGGCCCGCGCGTCTGCTGGATGGAGGTCCGTTAGTCTACTGGGTGGATGCTAGGTGGAAGGCCCGCGGGTCTAATGGCTGGAGGCCCGCGGGTCTGCCAGTTGGTTGGCTAGATAAAGGCCCGCGAGTCTGATGGATGGATGCTAGGTGGAAGGCCCGCGGGTCTGCCAGTTGGTTGGCTAGATAAAGGCCCGCGAGTCTGATGGATGGATGCTAGGTGGAGGCCCGTCGGTCTGATAGTTGTAGGCCCGCGGGTCGTACCAGTTGGTAGGCTAGATAGAGGGCAGCGGGCCTACTAGATAGATGCTAGGTGGAAGGCCCTCGGGTCTGCTGGATGGAGGCCTGTCGGTCTGATAGTTGAAGGCCCGTGGGTCTGCTACGTGGATGCTAGGTGGAAGGCCGGCGGGTCTTACCAGTTGGTAGGCTAGGCGGATGGCCCGCGGGTCTGCTAGGTGGAGGCCCGTCGGTCTGCTAGGTGGAGGCCCGTCGGTCTGATAGTTGAAGACCCGCGTGTCTCCTAGGTGGATGCTAGATGGAGGCCCTCGGGTCTGATGGCTGGAGGCCCGTCGGTCTGATAGTTGAAGGCCCGCGGGGCTGCCAGTTGAAGGCCCGCGGCTCTTACCAGTTGGTAGGCTAGGCGGATGGCCCGCGGGTCTGCTAGGTGGATGCTAGATGGAGGCCCGCGGGTCTGCCAGTTGGTAGGCTAGATAGAGGGCCGCGAGTCTAATGGATGGAGGCCCGCCGGTCTGCCAGTTGGTAGGGTATGTTGACGGTCCTAGTTGGTAGGCTAGATGGTAGGCGACTATAGGTTTACTACTTCTATATAAGCTGAATGGCTAGTATCCTTTATCCTGCCTAACCTAGGCTAATATGATCGATTACTAATGAAAGCCCTACTATCTAATCCTACCTACTAATTCCATCCATGCTTACTATAATACTGGCGGGCAAAGTAATAGAAGACTACTACTACCCTAATAACCTCTGTGTCCCAGCTCCACCCTGCCTCATAGAACGTATTAGGCTCCCATTCACTAGGCACCCACTCCTTATTAAAGTAGGGACTATTCCCTAAGCCCCTACCCTTGAAGGCCATATTACAAACCGTCCAAAAGCTAACTAGTAGCTTATCTGAGAAGCACCCTTTACCCTCATTCGTCACCAAAGGGCCCTTACAGACCCTAGTAGGTAGGAAGCACCTATAACAGCAGGTTTCCTCCTTAGGGTTTACCCGTGTCACTAACTCCTTAGCCGACCTAATAAAGATTGGCGACTGGAAGGTCTCACAGGTAGTAAGCCCATGGCCTAAGGGCCTAGGCGGCCTAGGTTCTTCTAATGCTATATATTATATTAGTAAGATAGAATAGACTAGGGCCTAGGGCTATGGCTATAGCTATAGCTAGGGCTAGGGCTAGGGCTAGGGCTAGGATAGTAGGGTAATAAGCTTACCTGACCAATTAATACAGCAGATAGGGCACTGCTCATTTGTCCAGAATCTCACAGCCCTTGCGATGAATTCTATACCTTCTAGGTCTTTCTGGGTCTGGTTTCGGACCCTAGAGGTAATTATAGAATGGCTGGATAAGCGGTGAGCACAGAGGTCGCATTGGGCCCAGATAGGGTCACATCTCTCTATAGCTTCTGCATCGAAGACCCTAGAGATTACCCTACGACGGCAGATCTGGTCAAGTAGGTATTGTTGGAAATAGACCTTCTCTGCAGCCTGAGGCACTGAATGACTAGGCACCTGCTTTAGCTGCCAGGATTGCACTAGGCAGTAGGACCACGCTAGCGAATCAGGTGACCTACCAGCCCTACCAGATTCCTGCATAAAATTGGTCATCTCATAAACACCAGGCATAAAGTGGATAACGAGATTAACATCAGGGAAATCGTAGCCAGCACCAATCCCACTAGTGGCTAGTAGGATAGGGGTCTCTACCCTAAAGCGCCCTAGCTGAAGCAGCTTTTCATCATCAGATAGGCCAGAGTGAAATCTCGCTGCCTGAGGCTGCAAGGCATTAAATAGGCTATCAACCAAGGCCTTTGTTCGGCAGAAGATAATCACCTTTGGGTTAGCCCTAGCACTAGCCTTAGTACTAACACTAGAACCAAAGGGGCCATGCTTAAGGGCGAATCCTTTGATAAACTGGCTAATATAGCTAGGATAGCCACTCTCTCCGAGCGTAGGAGGTAGGGCCTCAACCCTATAGGCTATGTGCTTTAGCGTTAGGCTAGCCCGTAGGCTATAGGGCTGGGTGCCTAGGTGAAGCATCTCACTAAGCTCGCTCTGTAGATGCCTAGGTAGGGTAGCCGAAGCAAATACCATTGGGACCCCTAGGGCTAGGGCATGCCATGCGCGATTCATAATAGGCCGATAGGTCTTTGAGAGAGGAATTAGATGGCATTCGTCCCAAATGACTCTTGCTAGTCTCTTCTGACTAATCAGGGTATTCGCCATCTCTAGGAATTCAGGATAGACCACGTGCTCAATTTGCACTAGGATTAGCCTAGACTCCGAGGGAAGAGATTCTTGCGAAGGGTCCCATGTAGTAGGCCTTAGCCCTAGGGCCTTAGCCTTACCTAGTAGGTCAAGCTTTAATGAAATGAGAGGAATCACCATAATAGTCACGTGGCTATTAAAGAGGCTAGCCCCTAGTAGGAATAGCGTAGTCTTCCCAGCAGCAGTAGGTAGGATAAGAAAGAGATAGGGTATATGCTTCATCATTAGGTAGAAGGCCTCTCGCTGATCAGGGCTACGAAAGGTAGCCTGATTATCATTGAGGAATTCCCTAAGTAGCTGGGTTAGGAGACCTATCCCAATCTGGCCACTCGCTATTAAGGGTGAATAGGCTAACTGGCGAATCTCTTGGCTAGCATCAAGACTAGGTGGTTGGTCTATCTGCCCTCTAGCTGCCTGGGGTACCCCATATAGGCCCATAAACTCATTAAATTGGCCTATCGAGACCCTATAGGTAGGGGTAGGGACCCCAGGCCTAGTAGGATATCGACATTGAACAACTGGCCAATTTAGTGGTAGCCCAAGGGCTAAGGGTGCCTTAGGCTGCTGAGGTAGGCTAGGCTCTGCTTCTGCCTTAGGCACTAAGAAGGCCCTATTATAGAAGAGAGACCCTAGCACGAGCTGGTCAGGTGATACACCGAGATAGGTATGCCACCGCTGGCTAAAGCTAATAAGGGCAGTTTGGATATCAGCCCTAATACCCTGGAGCTTAGGGTTTAGGGT